GGTGATTTGAATGAAGAAATCTACATGGAACAACCTGAGGGTTTTATAATTCCAGGACAAGAAAGGAAAGTCTGTAAATTGGTGAAATCATTGTATGGCCTAAAACAAGCACCAAAGCAGTGGCATGAAAAGTTTGATAATGCAATGATTACTAATGGTTTTAAGATCAATGAATGTGATAAATGTGTCTACATTAAAGAGACAACAAATGGCTATGTCATTTTGTGTCTTTACGTAGATGACATACTAATTGTTGGTAGTGATGATAAAATGATCAAATCTACCAAGTATATGTTGAATTCAAGATTTGACATGAAAGATATGGGACCTACTGATATGATTTTAGGAATTAAAATCACAAGAACATCGAATGTCTTATTTTAAACCGATCACACTATGTGGACAAGATTCTTGAAAAATTCAACATGAATGATTCCGTATTGCTAGAACACCATTAGACAATAGTCTTCATCTTTCCAAGAATAGAGGAGAGGGTATTTCTCAAGTAGAGTACTCTAGAGTTGTTGGAAGTCTAATGTACTTAATGAGTTGTACTAGACCAGACATTGCCTATACGGTTGGTAAATTAAGTAGATATACAAGCAATCCGAGTGCTGACCATTGGAAAGCAATAGTGAGAGTATTCAGGTACTTACGATATACTCGGAATTATGGCCTGCATTATACCAGATACTCAGCTGTTCTGGAAGGATATAGTGATGCGAACTGGATATCTGATATAAAAGACTCAAAATCTACTAGTGGATATGTATTCACACTAGCGGAGTGAGCCGTATCTTGGAAATCCCGTAAACAAACTGTATAGCCGATCCACAATGGAATCTGAATTTATAGCATTAGATAAATGTGGTGAAGAGGCTGAATGGCTACGCCATTTCTTAGAGGATATTCCAAAATGGCAAAAACCTGTGCCACCAATAAGTATACATTGTGATAGTCAATCTGCGATTGGAAGATCACAGAGTAATATGTATAATGGTAAGTCTAGACATATACGTCGTAGACATAATACCATTAGACAACTACTCTCAACAGGAATTATCTCTATTGACTACGTAAAGTCAAGGGATAATATTGCGGATCCGATAACCAAAGGGTTAAATAGAGAGTTAGTTGAGAAATCGACAAGAGGAATGGGACTGAAGCCCATGAAAGAATAAGTTGATATAAAGGAAACCCAACCTAGTTGACTGGAGATCCCAAGATCTAGGTTCAAAGGGACAACCTAATTATATAAACTTAGTGATGTCACTGTGAGGGTTATCCCTAAAACCATTCCTATATAAAATAACAGTGATATTGTAATGGAAAGGATAGCATTTTGCTTTAATGATTCTTAAGTGGAGTAAACAAATTACTCAAAATTAAGTAATCACCTATGTGAGAGAGAAGTGGGGCCGCTTCAAAGGAGAATTATTTAAGGGCTAAATTCTTTAGAAACTCTTGCAGAACCAGGTTGATGTTCATGGCCAAAACGAACATAACTATGAGAACTGAATAAACGTTTAGATGATTCCTGTGTGAAGTGTATGGTTCATTTACATAAGAAAGCTGGACAGTTCAAAGACATCATGTCTACTGGACAACTAGTAAAGTAAATATACTTTCACAAGGAAAGGTTCAAAGGGTAACATCTACCTATCCTATGCAGGTTTCAATTGTTGAACACTATCACAGAGTCAAAACTAAAATAATTTTCATTCATGTGGGGGATTGTTGGAAATATGGGATAAATTGATGGGTGAATGAATGAGAAATTGATGCTCAAAGAACACCCTTGAGTTGGAAGTGGGAAGTGGAAAAACACTATTCCCACATCGGAAAAGAAAGAAGGCTATGGAGTACTTTATATACAGTTACACTTATTTGAAGTGGTAACTATCATAGCACAAACTCTCTGCCTCGCGCGCAGGCGTGGGGGGTGCAAATCCGACGCCCGACAAGTTGAAACTTGGGCGCGAGCGCACATCTCGCATACACGATTGCAGGACCGAAAAGTGGGCCTCGCGACGAGCCCAATTTTGCCTTCTGATTTATTTTTTTCAACTCAAACTGTTACGAATTTCGTAACGTGCGGCAGATTTAATCAACCGTTATTCCCATGCGTATTGATTTTATAACGGCAGATTTAATCGTTCGTATTGATTTTATAACGGCAGAATTAATCGTCCGTTATTTCATATTGATTTTATAACGGCAGATTTAATCGTCCGTTATTCGTATTGATTTTGTAACGACAGATTTAATCGGCCGTTATTATTCCCGAAATGCTATCCCCTGCGTTCTATTTTATCGAAATCATTCTTCCTCTGTTTTAAAAATTCTTTGCATTTGCACTGTTTTTCGGTAGTGTTCATTTTCGAGTTTGTTCAAGTTCTCCGAAAGCTTGGAAGTGTCGTGATATCTTCTTCGCTGTCAACCGTTGTATCCTGGGAGACAGACGTTCACGAAACCTCAATCGCGTACTGGAGGGAACGAATCTGTTTTAAGGAAACTGTGTCAAACACAGGCCTCGGTATTCATTTGTATCGATTCCGACTTTGTTATTGCAATTTCGTTTCTTTATAATTCTGTATTGTTTGTAATATTTATGCTAATGCCGATTTGAATTTTCGCAACAGCTCAAACTCGACTCAAGTTCGATAAAGAATCGAGTCAAGATTGAGTAATTCGCGAATTGAAGTCAAATAACTTGACTAGTTTACACTTCTGCTAAGTACGAATGCATGAGTAGACATTTGTAGCCACTATCTTGGGCTAATTACAATTTGCAACCTATATTTTAAAGATCGTCTCTGTCAATTGATGTAGTATTTTGTCTAATTGAACCCTCATAATGTTTTCGTCTCAATATTATTAGCATAAAATCTTTTCCCAAATTCAATTAATTTCTCTTCTTGGTCTAATTATGGTGATAATTAGAAGGCATGACATGCGACTTATGAATATTGTCCATAAGGGAAAAACACACTGTGCTAACTTTATTTTAGACTTACCCAAGCTTGAGTTATCTTAGACACATGATGAAACAAACTTTAGATTTCGTCGTGCCTACTATCGTGCTGCAGGTATTTGACTAGGACAACTTATGTCATAAGAGGTTGATTGAAACGATTCCAAAAGTCCTAGCGACATGATATGATTGACCTCATTATTAGGGGAATGTCTGCTCCACTGTATTTGATGACCTATCTTATAATATGAAACCTATCCTATTGGATCCGCCTTGAACTTATGGATGCCGGTTGCACAGGTACGATGGTACGATGTGCTATTTTAATCAAACTCTATAATTTTACCTACCAATTCAACCATCATATTCAACAAATTACAGAAAGCGAATCACAAAATTAAGTACGTTTTGCCAATAACTATACATAAAAGTTATAAACGCCATTCGTCACAAGAAAAAACATTACAAGAGATATGAAACCCTAGTAAAATATTGGGTATACGGGTCGTGTTGCCTCTCGAGGCTAACGTGCACGTGTGTTAACGTAAATATCCTCCATTCAAAGACGGAAAAGAAATAAACCCTTAAATTTTATCTTGTTGGCAACCACTACAATGAGCAATCGTTAAGAAAAGGGGTGCTTGAATCATTCTATTTTAACTTAAATATTTAGTTGAAAAAGAAGAATTCATACAGAATATGTGAAATAGTATAACAGTTTTAACTATAATATATGCATGCGGCTCTACACATCGATTCGGAGTATATTCATGCATTGCACTCGACAAAAAATGGCTTAGTTCAGAAACGTTAGTTAGATGCCGATCGAAAGTTGCATATATCCAGTAACTGGCAGACTCCAATACTTAGTTGACCCCTTGGCATTATGATTTTGAATATCTTAGTCTCTAAATCACATGATTTACACGAACTGAAAGGTAAAATCAAGCCACGGCCAATCGATTAGGTGCTCTAGAACATGACATTAGTCTACCAATTCATGTGATACCTTTGTGAGCTTGGAGTACCATAAATGAAGGAGCATATACGATTGCAATTGATTGCAGCTAAGATCTCCAAACATAATCATGACAATAATGCGTGCATAAAATACTTATTACTTTATACTTGTTCACGGTAAAATGCAAGTATACCTTGTAAGCGTATACGAAACTGCATGCATCAAGGCGCGTGAATTTGATACAGTAGTGGTACATCAATTGAAAATCTAGTGCTGTATATTATGATATCAAGTCTTGTCCAAAGTTGTTCTTATCTTAATCTTTAGACGTTTTTGAGAAAAAACCTTAGGCAGCCAACGAGAGTTAGCCACGACATTTTTATAATAGCAAGACAAAAATATTTTGAACGTGTGGAATCGAGTTCATCTGAGTGCACTGGATGTAGATATATGGATCTTCGACTCGAGAGAACAGTACGTGGATCTATTTGATCTAACAATCTCGAGACCTTAGACCCTCCTCCCCCTTCTTCCTTATGCCAATGAATACTCAGGTAAAAGTATAGCCAAAAGCATGCAAAAGTTCTTTGCTTTCATATCGTGATGAACTCAACATGAGATGCGGAGTACTCAACTGAGCTTTACAGGCAAAAGTGTTTGATTATAAGTTGATACATGCTTGAATTAGCTTCTATGTGAATGCCACAACTAGAATGGCGAGTGTAGCGCCTCACATGTAATACTTCAAGAGAATGCATGAGACATTCATGGGGATTTCAGACACATATGAGTTGGGAACACAACTACATGTTTGGACAATCCTTCACCAGAAGCAATACAAGGGAATTATGCACTGCGAACTTTGGGACATGTTTAAAACTGGCACAGTGCAGTAAGGTAAAAAAGGTAGAAAAAGAGAGGAGAAACTTACCCGGACAATTAATGAACAAGAGATGCATAAGACCATCTGATAATTCCTGTAATGCACATAAAATCATATGTCCATCTTTCTTTTTTGATAGTTCGAGAAGAAGGTAGAGAAACAAACAAGAAGACTAGCCCGCATTACATCAAACGCATTATCATAAAAATCGGTAAAGGTAAAACAATAATGTTTCATTAAATTTTGTTGACAACACAACATAGCACAACCCAATATCTCCTACTACACTAGTGTCGCTTGAAAAACAAAGACACTCGAGCTTAAGTGGAGCAGCAAGTACCAGAGATGTTCATTGTAGATATATAATAAGATGAAACAAGAATTAATAAACCTATCTGATCAGAGCTGATTCACATTTAGTAGGTATTGATCCTTAATCTTCACAGATTCGGTGGCGTGTCACGGTAGGTGGTTATTGTAGGGAACCGCATTGTGTTGATCACCGAGGCTTTCCATTTCAGATCTGAGTCCTGGTAACTCCCAGGTAGCATTCCCATGATTGAAGCTCGCCGCGGAAGCGAAGGAAACCGCGGGCACAAACTGCGCTGGAACAGTGGCAGTCAGACCGCGGTGATACTGATTTGTGTACTCATCCTCCACGAGCGAATCCAGAAATGAAGAGAATATGTCCTCGTTATGGCAGTTATGATCAGCATAACTCTGGCCAAAGCTGTTCATCATCGTGAGTCCCTCCACATTTTGCCAGTTGTCGTTGTTGTGTGCTTGGACAACGCTGTTTTGAGGCTGCCCCAGGTGGCCGTCCACCACTTTCAGATTGTTCTCGTCGCTGGTTTCTTCCACTGGTACTGAAGGATTGGGGTAAGTTGCTTTCGATGTGAATGTTGAAGCATTATAAGTATTTTGTAAATGGGCTGCTGGTGAAGAACTAGGGTTATGGTTCGATAATGGCTTGTGATTCCGGGGATCAATTCCTTGGCTGATGAGCTTTTTGCTGAGGTGGGTGTTCCAGTAGTTCTTGATCTCGTTGTCGGTGCGGCCCGGGATTCTTCCAGCTATCAAAGACCACCTGTTCATGGTTTCAGCAACCAAGAGGTACCAAAGTATAGACATAGTCAACCTCATTGTCCAATATCTCTCGATCTTGCCGTTCTAGATCTATCGAGTAGTCTTTCCTTCGAGTTGGCATAAGAAACTTTTGTTCAACTTACTATTTCTAGCTAAATGATTTGTTTAAAATTCAGTTCGTGAAAAGAGGGCAAAATACAGGTTCTGGATTGATCCTATCTGAATTCTCACGCTAAAAGCCGTTCGGTTGGATTTGCTTCTTTACGTGTCAGTTGAAGGAAGCTACAGTGAAACCCCAGAAATGAAACAATTAGCAGAACATTGTTAAAGCTGGTGAGATTTGTCTATGCTGAAATCCCAACGTGTCATGTTACTTTGTTAACAGAACTTAGCTCAGGGTCGGGGGTACCTGTTTCCAAGCAGGCGGTGGAGGCGGAGGATGAGGTCCTCCTCATCAGGAGCAATCTGGCCTCTCTTCACGGAGGGGCGGAGGTAGTTCATCCAGCGGAGGCGGCAGCTCTTGCCGCAGCGCTGGAGGCCGGCATGCTTCGGGAGGGTCCGCCACCGTCCCTCGCCTTCCCTCCTCACGTAGCTGGCGAGAACCTCGTCTTCCTCCGGCGTCCATGGCCCTCTCTTTATCCCCACCTTGCTGCAACATGGCGTTGCTGTGCTTGTGCTGTTGCCCCTTGAAGCTGAAGCTGGACCTGGGTTTCTCATGGTCTCTCTCTCTCTCTCTCTCTCTCTCTCTCTCTCTCTCTCTCTCTCTCTCTCTCTCTCGTTGATTTCGAGATTAATTATGGGAATGGATTGGTTTGTGGATAAAGTAGGGGGAATATTAGGGTTGGTGGGAGAGATGGAGAAGCTCAGTGTCTCGTGTGTTGATTTCGAGAAGGAGGAAAGAAGTGAAGTGCAACACGACCTCAGAATAAATCATCGTAGCATTGAGTTTTAGAACACTCTTGACCTCCAATGGGGAGCCGGCACGTGGTGGTGATTGAGTTTTGGATATATGTATAATGCATCTACTCTCTTCTCTTCCTTTTGGTGGGGACGCCTCCTCCCATTTTGCTTTGTCTGCTGCTTCTGTCTTTGCATGGGGGGAGTCTGCTTCTTCTTTGTCGAGTTGGGGATTCCCCAATGTGCTGTCTCCAAATGTGCTCGCCTTTCTTTATATATATACATGAAATTCCATCGATTTAAACATTTTTTAGGTCAAGGCTCGATTTCTAGAATCCCTTGCTAACTTTATCGATCAAATCGAAAACTGTGAGCTGAAACTCGAGCGGGTGACCATTCCCAATACGAGATTATCGACAACCAACATCAAATTCGTATCGTGCGTCTTCTTCACTGTACATATCCATTCCTCGATTAATTAAAAAGTCAATCTTCGTGGGTTCATGCATGCAAAAAGTTCTTTGAGTAAACCCTGATGTTATTTCCTCGTCTAACACACCACAAATGGAAAAAGCAAACGAAAAATGGAATTCTTACTCGTAGCAGGACCTAACCGTTAAAGGTATATTGTTCTTGGAAGGACCACCTCCCTGACTTCATGGAGTCCCCCATAATTCACTGCTCGACTTTCTTAGGTACTACGATTTCGATCAAGAATTTCGCGGCCAAAATGCCAGAAGTGGGTGCTTCTTTTGGGGAGTTTGAGAGGGACATATAGTTTCCATGGAAACCAATTTCATTGTATCAGAGTAAGCTGCCATGGACTGAGCAATTATTGGTTTTTGATGGGCATGCACATGGGCCAATGGGAAAAATATATGAGGAGTTGATCAATATTAAACTCCTCCTTGCTCTTGTTTAACTTGAAAATATGGAGGTTCAGAGTGTTTTAGGACTGACTACAGCAATGTCAAACAATTGTTCAGACAGTTTCTTGGAAACAATTTGTGTACATCCAGTATCTTAACCTAATTAAACACATAAGGGAAATCCCAAATTATCGGACTTTCAATTTCGACGTGCAGAAAAATGTACATATACATGTCCGCGCGAAAGCTCAATATGTACTGTAAACGTCTTTGTTTGAGGACAAGTATACACGTAGATTATGGATTGGTTTTCTTCTGCTTCTAGGGTTTTGGCGGTCAGATGGTATCAAATATGCAATCACGTTGAGGCCGATCAATCTATCTATCGTTTAGAGGAGAACGGAGGGTGATCAGGGTATAGGCACGAAATTATTTTCTCGTGACTTGGCTATGGAAAAATCAATATGAATAGGAACCGAACTTGAGCTCGAACCAGTACATCTTATAGATGCAAAGACTCAATCGTCTCAGTAAATCGACCGTTGACGACTTGACATCCGGACTGAGTCATCCTTCTTTTATAACGCACCTAATTGGTCGTGCCTTGTGATGATTAATGACTCGCGATCAGGTCAAAGCAAGCTAACCCCAGACGAGGGTTTTTGGAACTCATCCAACAACAACAACAAAAAAAATTGGCCAGGATGCATGTCAGATAGACAATGTAATTCGCTCATTTTACCACATCAAGCGATATCACCAGGTAATATATTTGATAGATAAAGCACTCCGTCCGATTACAAGAAAAACTGGTGGAGTGGAGGGTGGTTGGCTCCTTCTTGACCCGATGATGGCGCTATCATATCATAACGAAAATAGGCCCATACAGCATGGCCCGATGCAATTGATGATATGTTCCTGCATCATCATTATTAGCTCAGAAGCTCTTCATCAAGGCTCGTTTCTGAAATAGCATTCGAATTTCAATATGCCTCCCACTTCAACTTCCAGTCCAGTCCCTTCTTACAATGTGATTGTGATAAATTAGAGACTAGGCTTCTTTGACGACCCAAATCAGTGCTGAAAATCAAAATTTCAGCAATTAGAATAATGAGAATTAGAATAATGACATTAAGCTTATTCGGTGACCCAGTTTAGGAACGACTTGAAAGACTCGATTGAGTCGAAAAAACTTGCGTAATCCAAGAAGTAAGTGAATGGGTCCGTTGATTCGTTCATATAAGAACTAAGAAGTAGTTGATGATTTGTGATCAAATATGTTGTCGATACTTACCAATCATGATTACGCTTCTGTGTTTGGTTAGGAATTAATGATATTCGGCCATCAATTTTCACTTATCACGAAACAACTTTTCATTCTTTTTTTCTTCTTCTTCTTCTTCTTTTTTTGGCATTTTCAAATATTTTTTTTCTTGCTTTATATTTTCGTGGAATGACACGTCAGCATTTATTAGCAATTGCCGCTCGTGTTAATTAGAATTTCCGTTTACTTTATTAATGAGGCAGGAAAAAGGTATATAATTTAGGGACCACATTGGCAAATAAACAAATTGAGAAAATACAAGAAATTTTTTTTTTTTGGTCATAGAGAAAAAAAAAATGAAAGATCGGTGCCTTGATCCCTACTTTTTTATTTTCAACACTTGAGATTTGTTCAGTTCTTAAGATATGTTTAGCACTTTTCACATGTTTCAATGGCATATGCAGAATCCGTCATGGCTTGATTTTCTCATCGTACTTCAAACACGAAGGATAAATTTAGTATGCCAAATAAAAGATCGAACAGTATAAACACTATCCTATTCGGCATTTGACGACGTCTTTCGGACCGAATAAACTCGAATAATTCGAGAGAAAAGTCCGATAAATTTTCCAGGCCTAGACAGCGGGATAGACCCGGTATTAGACAACTAAACTAAAACAAAAAACACACACACACACACACAAATAAAAAGAGAAAGGATGTTGAGTTTTTCCCTGCACCTCGGGAGCAACACCGTCAACGACGTTAGCAATCACCACAACTGGTCTCTCTCTTTCTTTCTAACATCTAATTCTAGATCTAAGACAGCACGATCCCCATACCAATGTGACTACTCCATTTAAGTCTCACCATAAAAATTTCACATCAGTCGTGAAAATTTTCAGATTAAAGACTGCGAAGGATCGTTACTCGGCATCCCTCGCCACTATTCATCCGAGGTAACGAGCCCCCTCACCAGAAGCCCGACCAAAGTGTTACAGATTTAGAACTCATTCACCTAATTAAGCAAGATACAAAAATTGAGATAAGGACACTAGGAGTGCCTTCACTTTTGTATAGCGCTCACTTGAACGCCATAATTTTTTTTTGGCTCACTTGAGTGCCAAAAATTTGAAAAAGTGATCACTTGAGTGCTAAATGCCATTTGGCAGCCAAAAAATCTGACGTGGCTTCGCCGGAGCTGACGTGGACAATATTTTAATGTTTTTTTAATTTTTTAATTTTTTTAGTATTTTATTTTTGCAAATTTTATTTTTAATGCCGGCGAGGGCCACCATGCCCTTGGCTGCAAAGGCCCTGGGCGAGGCCGTCGCGACCTCGCCAGCGGCAGGAGAGGCTGCGAAGGCCGTCTCGCCGGCCGCGGGCGAGGCGGACTTGCCAGATCTGGCGAAAGCCTTCACCGCCGCGGGCAAGGCCTTTGGCACCTCGCCCGTGCCAGCGAGGGTCATCGGCAACCCTCGCCAACCTTGAAAAAATAAATAAAAAGATAAAGAAAAAGAAAAAATTTAAAAATCAATAAAATAACATTAAAAAAATCCACGTCAGATGAAAAATTAATTAAAAAATCCACATCAGCTCATTTGCCAGATATGGCACTCAAGTGATCTATTTTCACCAGAAATGGCACTCAAATGATCAATTTTACTCTGATGTGGCACTCAAGTGAGCCAAAAAAAAGTTATGGCACTCAAGTGAGCGCCGTACGAAAGTTACGGCACTCCTAGTGTCCTTATCCCTACAAAAATTATTGTCGTCGGGTTCGAACTCATGAGCTTGCGTTTGGGACAGTCCGTGCACTAGGCTGCCGCCACCAGTGGTATGTGTACTAGACTTGGAAGGCATGGATGTGGTGGTCCAGATAGAGTTGTGCTTCAACCCAAAGTCACCAAATGAGCTTATGAAGAGAAGGGCCAAGAATTAGAAAAGACGATTATGTGCTGCTGACATATGCTTGAGCTAACAACGAGCTCAGCAAAAACAGCAGTAAGACCTCAAATTCTCTTAGCATCAACATGGTAACAATCGAATGGCGAACGCATCACGATCACAGACACAAACCATCATCGACAGGGACAAACGGTCGACGACACGAAGCGTTTGTATGAATTCAAACGGGGATGTTGCAGCGTAATCGTACTTGATGTACAGACATCGATGAACTCTGATTGGTCTTGGAATCAGAAGCAGTCAACCTGCATATCTTATCATCGAAGGATGGCTTCCTTAGTTAAATCTTGAAACTAAAAGACGAAACCGACGGGGAATCATAGATGAAAGAGAGAGCGAATGGGTAAAAGAATGGGGGCAGGCGCGACGAATCTCGTGGTCGTTAATGTATAACGAACGGGATGTGTGATGGCTTTCAGAATGGGAAAAAAGAATACAATTAGATGGTCCTTTTCATGGTTATTCAAACCACATGCGAGAGGTCACAGCCTACCAAATGAGGCATCTTCCATAGAAGACATCCCCCATATAGTTTTCTCCTCCTCCTCCTCCTCCTCCTCCTCCTCCTCCTTCTTCTTATTTTTCAATTTTTTTTGGTCATTTTTTTATGGTTTGTTCTGTGCATAGAAGGATACAGTGAATGTGATGTCTATCTAGAGTTGTACCCGGGTCTAAACTAAAGAAAAAGAGCAAAAAAAAAAAAAAAGAGGCTAGCGTTGGTTAGGGTGGAGCTTTCTCCCTTCCATATATATATATATATCAAGGTGGGTTAAACAGCCACGGACGGACTTGATCGGATCGACTGACTCCAAACACAAGCAGGTCTTCGGTGACCCACCCCGCGTCTCGGCCGTCCTCTCACGACCGTCGGTCACGATCCCAAAAGAGAGAGGGGGCGCCATCTCTTCGGGGTGGCGTCGGAGAGAGAGGAACGATGGGGTTTTTCCACGAGACGAATATAGCCGAGAAAATCCGCAACCCGAGCAAGAAAATGAATGAATTGGGTGGGTGCGTGTATGTTAGGGAGTGATGTAAGGGGGACGTTGATCAGGACAAATCGCGGCGTGCACGATAGGCTACTGTTCGTCTCCTAATCGATGGTTTCGGGACCAGGTCTCTCCTAAATCTATTTTAAAACCTCTGTGTGTGTTCTTTGAACTTTATTTGCTTGGCTTCATCCGGAGAATCGCTCTGGTGCCTCCAAGTGGCGCCTCCCTCGCGCCCCTCGCTACTTTCTTCGCCAATGTTTGACCCATTCTATTCTCAGAGACAAACTAGAGGGAGAGAGAGATTAAAATTTACTTATATTGAAAGTTTTGTCTTTGTTAAAATACTAAGACTTTGTCAATCGTCATCACATTCTCCTCCCCGAGGCTTTGTCTCCTTTAGGGAAAGGTGTAGTGACCCTTTTATCCTCGCAATATTCACCTTGATAAAAAGTAAAAGGCATGATACATACTTTTGGGATTCATGATTTATTAAGTCGGGACTCACGAGTTATCAATTCGGATTATATTTGGATAAAGCGAAGGAACATTAATTTGGTCCGATTCAAATTTGCTTTTTCTCGAATCGATTGTTTGCCGCGTTCTTTCTGTTGTTTTCATGAACTCATTTTCGATTCATAATAAAAACTTGATAAATATATGCGGCTGAGAAATTGCGTCACCTGATATGAAAAATACTCGAATCTTGATGACCAATGAATTTAAAAAGAAAAAAGAAATTGCATTCCAAATCCGACTTGAAATTTTGATTTTTTTTATATTAATTTTAGGGAAAATACTACCAAAAACCCCAAACTATGTCACTTGTGACAAATTTACCCTGAATTTTTTTTTGTGACACGAAAAATCCCAAACTATGCCATTTGTGATACATTTACCCCACGATACTTTGACCCATGGGCATTTTCGTCTTTTTTCTTTTTTTTTTTTTTTTTACTTCTCTCTTCCCTCCGCCGGCCATGGCGGAGGGAAGCCGGCGAGGGCCCTCGCCGGCGCTGGGCGAGGGTCGCCCTTGCCAGACGCCGGCGAGGGCGCCCTCGCTCGACTCCGACTCAAGCGAGGGCGACCCTCGCCGGCGTCGGGCGAGGGCTGCCCTCGCAACTGTTAGAAATTTAACTATAGCGGAAGACTGAAGATTCCGATTATTCATATATAAACTATAATCATGCATAATCAGAATTTTTATCAATTTGAACTCTAAGTCAATGTTTTCTGAAAAAGTGATTCCAAGGATTCGGGGCAATAAGAAGAAGTAAAAGCAAGGGCACAAATGGGAAGAACACTGAGAATCCACAAAATGACAAGCACAAACCAACACCCGAAAACATCACCCCAGCTTGGTCCTTCAATAAAAAGATAATTCAAGCACAAGCCCCTCCAACATATAAATTCCCCTGAAGAACCAGACATGGAAAAACCTGACCAAACTGCCACACCAAGAGAACCACCCTCTCTCCCTCTTTAGCACTCTCTCTCTCTCTCTCTCTCTCTCTCTCTCTCTCTCTCTCTCTCTCTCTCTACATTCGACCAAAACCAGGAAAAGACCCTGTCGAGTTCCTTCAGACCCAAGACTTGGAGCTCTGTCTTCTGAGAGCTCCCAATGGAGATCCACTTTCAGATGCAGCAGCAACATAGAGGAGACACCAACAACAACATTCCTGTGGCCAAACTGGGCAGCAAGTTGAAGCCCCGAAGCAGAGGCCACGGCAGCATCAGCAACAAGTACGTCGGGGTGCGGCAGAGGCCCTCGGGGAGGTGGGTCGCCGAGATCAAGGACACCACCCAGAAGATCAGAATGTGGCTCGGCACCTACGAGACCGCGGAAGAGGCCGCCAGGGCCTACGACCAGGCCGCTTGCCTCCTCCGCGGGTCCAACACCCGCACCAACTTCGCGACCCATGTGTCCTCCGACTCTCCCCTGGCTTCTCGCATCCGGAACCTCCTCAACAACAAGAAGGGAGGCACGAATCAACCGAGTTTCGATGCTTCTCTTTCTACAACGATGAGTACTGCTACTAATGGTACAACGACGACGGCTATTACTGCGACTAGTACTACTTACTCGTATAGTAGCACGAGCTGTAGTAGCAATAGCTGCACGGATAGTGGCAGTACTCTATCTGCGGATGACAAGATCAACTCGGAAGCCATCAAGGTTTTCAGTGAGGATGTATATAAGCCGGATTTAAGCCGCTGCAGGGACGAGTTCGAGTTGAGTTCTTCAAAATACAGTTTATCCTGGGCTCCCGAGCATGGTGGGTTCAATAGGTTCTCGTACGCGCAGGAGGTCATGGAATTGCCGAAGAGCGATAAGGCTGGTCCGGCCAATGCGTCGGACAAAATGGGGGAGTTATCAGAGTTCGACAGGATGAAAGTGGAGCGACAGATTTCCGCATCGCTGTACGCCATGAATGGGTTGCAGGAGTACATGGAGACTGTCCATGATCCATCCGAGGCTCTGTGGGATCTCCCTCCCCTGTGTTCATTGTTATACTGACCTTGCCTTTTTCATGGCTCTCGAAAAGTTTATAGAACCACCTTCTTTGTGCTAGTTGCTTTTTGATTCTTTGAAAGAAATTTTCATGTGCTCAATCTAAAAACATTTGAACACTGTAATCGGGGACGGAGTTTCTGTTCAGAATCAACAAGCTTTACGACTCCCAGCAATCTTGCCTCGTTTGAAAATCAATCTCTCTCTCTCTCTCTCTCTGTCTCTCTCTCTCTCTCTCTCTCTCTCTCTCTCTCTCTCTCACCCATCTGATGATACATTGCAGATAGACAAGAGTTACCGTAGAATGATTCCCTGTCAAACCTCATGTTGATAGGTACCAGAACACCATCGTTCGGATTCGTGGAATCAAATAATTTGGTGTCCGCCAGAATGTCCACCTTCACAGACGTGCATAATTGTCACAAATAGCATTAATTTAAGCATTTGGAGACATATTCCAAGTCCAAAGAATAGACAGCTTGTCACCCAAAATTGTGAATTCTTTAATATGAATTGGTTGCAATTTGACATCTTAACTGTCATCAAATGAATGCATCGTACCACCGATTTCACATGACAACAATTGACTTTTAGTGGAAATTGAATCTGATTGATTAAGTGGAAACTCAAATTGCTCCTCACTTTTCTGGGAAGCGCACGTATGTAACTGGAAACAACTAACAGACTACTCTCCGTCTACTGGGCATTCATGTTGTTAGCATACCACTAGAAAGATCTCTTCGGTATTATTTCAAAAGTTTCTGGCATCATGGGGGGCCAAATCCTCAATGGCCACTCAGGCATTCGCTGAAACAACTTGTGCTGATTCCTGAACGATCTCCGAGATGCCGATTGACTAGTGATGATTGTCGAAATATAGTAAGAAGTACGATACTAAACACTCTAAAACCTTTAAAGAAATTTAAACCTTCATGTTGCTTTGTCTGTATTTCACCTGAAGAACCAACACAAGCTGCTGATCTTACCAGCAACAGATCCTGAAGTTTGTGGGAATGGATCAACCAAAATCACTCACTGCACCACAACATGTAATGTGTGTAATCACCTACCTTACATTTAACTAGAGCTAGCTAAATGACAGATTTGGGTTAGCTAACCAGATTTGAGAGTAATAACTGGTACAAGCCAGAGAACTAACGTACGTTCTTGTAGATGTAAAGTTGACGTAAAACAAGATCTGAATGCTTCAAAAGACATTCCTCTGTCTCAATTTTAACCTTCCTACGCAATTTCCCAATTGTCGCCTCCAAGCACTTGGGAAGCAACCACCAGTACAATCAACTGAAAAAGAGCATCTTATGTAGCCAACTGAAAAAATAGCATCTAGCATGACCAATTAGCTACATAAATCATGGCCACAACAACAGGTTTCTTCATTGTCTGTGCATCTTCACCAATAAGAGATGAACATAGAAGGAAATCTACGCACACAAGTAAATGCAAGTGTAATTTATGTAGGCTTCTAGGCTGATCACTTTTAAGTTTCCACTTCAAACATGATAAGAAAGCGGCAGCACATGCCCAAAAAGAAAGTCCACTTCAAAGGTAAAACTTGAAGAAAAACAATACAACATGGGGCCAGAGAGACGGCTCCCGGTGCTTCAAAAAGGAGAATTTCCTTTGTTTTAGTAATCCTCCCCTTCTTCCTCCTCCTCATCACCACCCTCTACCGCAACTTCCTCATAGTCCTTCTCGAGAGCAGCAAGATCCTCACGGGCTTCTGAGAATTCTCCTTCCTCCATGCCTTCACCGACATACCAGTGGACGAATGCTCTTTTAGCATACATGAGATCAAACTTGTGGTCAATACGGGAGAAGACCTCAACTACAGCTGTGTTGTTGCTTATCATGCACACCGCACGCTGCACCTTTGCAAGATCTCCCCCAGGTACCACTGTTGGAGGCTGGTAGTTGATGCCGCATTTGAAACCGGTTGGGCACCTGAGAGAATGGATATGCATAACTCATTTTAAGAACATGTCTAACAATATGACCCTCGTCTTAACCATCTTGATGCATGCGCCTAGATGAAATTCGACATGAACTGGCGATGTAAAACTGTGGCCCATCAACAGCTTACAGCGCATCAACCAACAAAAGAAGCTTCACTTCGATAAAGGACCTCAAAAATTGAGGTCAAAAGATTACCGCATTCTTAGGCAAAAGGGGGAACATATCCATCAGAAGGAAAAACACATTATCTTCCTTCATTAATTCCTAGATCTTAGAACTTCACCTCAGATACATGCCAGCCAGTTCATCATATGTCATTAAGTATTTGAGCCATGCACAACCAAAAAGAAAATCTAACCAATTTCAAGTAGTTCTTAGTTTTTAATATTTTAAAATCTCCATTCTGAATGAATTAGATGTTCACTTACCAGTCCACAAACTGAACAGTGCGCTTTGTCTTAATTGTAGCGACAGCAGCATTGACGTCCTTAGGTACAACATCTCCACGATACATCAAACAGCAAGCCATGTACTTCCCGTGCCGTGGGTCACACTTGGCCATCATATTTGATGGTTCAAACACGGCACTTGTAATTTCTGGAACTGAGAGCTGCTCATGATAAGCTTTTGCAGCAGAGATCACAGGGGCATAAGATGAGAGCATGAAGTGTATGCGAGGATATGGAACAAGATTCGTTTGAAACTCCGTGACGTCCACATTGATGGCACCATCAAACCTCAAAGAAGTGGTCAAAGAAGATATAATCTGGGATATTAGGCGGTTCAGGTTTGTGTAAGTTGGCCTCTCAATATCTAAGGATCTTCTGCAGATATCGTAAATAGCTTCATTGTCCAAAAGAACAGTCACATCTGTGTGTTCAAGGAGAGAATGAGTGGAGAGCACACTATTGTAAGGTTCCACCACTGCTGTTGAAACCTGCTCCATTCAAGAAACTATAGCCTTTATTTTATAGCTCAACCTCATTGATAGAATCCATCTATCCGAAGAAAGAGATGAATATGGAGATGCTCATTCAATGACGGGAAGATTTTCTCCTTCAAATTCTAAAGCAAACAACTCATGCTAATGCTAAGTCAGCATTTCCAGTTCAGTCATTAAAAATAGGAAATGCATCATAAATTTAATGGAGCAACTTTATAAAACTAAGCTTCCAATATTAGCCTTGCCATCCATCACTGTTGTCTCTCTATGGCAACGACGGGTGGAATGCTGTGTGCTAACTAGTACAACAGAGGCATGAAAAGTTAGAAAAATCATGAAAGTTCATACATCATGAGCATGCTTCACAGAATCCGGATAGCCTATTTAACTTATGGCCCACATGAATGTACCTGAGGAGAAGGGTAGATTGTGAAGCCAAGCTTCGATTTCTTTCCATACTCTACGGACAATTGTTCCAACAGCAATGAACCCAAACCAGAACCGGTGCCACCGCCTACAGCATTAAAGACCAAAAAACCTTGCAAGCCAGTACAGTTGTCGGCTAGTTTTCTCACTCGGTCAAGGCAGAGATTAACAATTTCCCTCCCCACTACAGAAAGAAAATGAGAAAGCAGATCAAGTAACAATCTACAAATAAGTGATAGTTGCCAATTCTGAAACGGTAAAAAGACATGTACGAACCTGTATAATGTCCTCTAGCAAAGTTGTTGGCAGCATCTTCCTTGCCGGATATAAGCTGCTCAGGGTGAAAAAGCTGTCTATATGAACCAGTCCTGACTTCATCAATCACAGTGGGCTCAAGATCAACAAATATAGCTCTCGGCACATGTTTTCCAGAACCAGTCTCACTGAAGAAGGTGTTGAAGGCATCATGCTCAACCCCTACTGTGGAGTCACTGCAAGAATAAACAGATCAAGAATATGAGAGAGAGAGAGAGAGAGAGAGAGTCAAATTCTGCATTATTCACTCTCACTTACAAAATTGATAACCACGAGTAACTACCATAGGCCGTATTGATAACCCACGACACTATCAAATTCAGAGAGAAGACTGCGACCAAATCAACAATTACTAAAGCAGTGACAGTGGAAGCTCAATTGGAGTAGTGCATCAAGCATGTGATCAGAGTAATGTCCTACAGATCCACGAAATTAGCAATTGACAAAAGTATTCTCACGGTAGCCAAACTTCTGTCAGTGTCAGTAATCCAGCGAGCCTTAACAATTGACTATCTATCTTCACAACCTGCCCAGATAAACAGACTCCATCAGAATCTAAATGATGCCTGTACCAATCGCATCCCAATCGCATCACCTAACTACTTTTCTCACGGCTCGCCAGATCCTCGGCACGAACATCTAATGTAGCAGCCCGATCCCGACACTGCATTACCCACGTTGCTCTTTCAAACGATCGCTACCCGCGATCAAGAAACCCTTGTTGGGGGCAAAAGGGGCAGACCAAACATGGAAATCACGCTAAACGGTAAACCACGCGCGCGCGCCACCAGCTCCCCCCCAAAAAAAACAACAGAACCAGCAGCTCGGGAACAACCAAAAGAAGCTAAAGTTGCGAAACATCGGAGCCGCCGGAAGAACGCTCGGGAGCAAGGTCATATCCTCGCGAAAGGCTCGAGCTTTCGAGCGACGCGAGCGTGAGCACGAGCCGAACGCATCGACCACCCGACGGTTCCAACACGAAATGCGGTCCAGATTCTCTCCGGGGGAAGCAATGGAAAATCCGAGGAGCAACGTACCTGGGCATCGTGCCATCGGGTTGGATCTCGTGCTCGAGGCAGTACAGCTCCCAGCAGGAGTTGCCGACCTGAATCCCCGCCTGCCCGATGTGTATGCTTATCACTTCCCTCATCCTCTCCCTCTCTCTCTCTCTACTGCGTCGCGGTATCTGCAGAAGAAGAAGGAAGGAGGAGGAAAGTGAAGGAGGAGAAGGGAGGAGGAGGAGATCGGGACTGCCGAAACCGCGGGGTTGTTTATGTAAATACGCCTTTCAGCGACGGGGCGAGTCCCGTTTGTCTGATTTAACGGGAAATTGCTTTAAGGTGGGGGGTCCACGAAAAATGGGAGTGGGGGCCCGCCGTTTTGGCGCCAGCTGTGTCGAGCTGATGAGCCGGCTCGGCTGTTGTCGGTGGCGCTGGTCCACCTGAGCTGGACGTCTCGGAGAAATTTGTCGTTGAATTTTGGCCCAACGTGTAATGCAGTCCTTGAACTTTTAATTTATACAATATGATCCTTGAATTTTAACCTAATATTCAATGTGATCCCTAAACTTTTAATTTTTTCAATGTAGCTCTCGAATTTTTGGTAAATTATGCGAAAATATTCAATGTAGTCCTCGGGAATAAGCATAACAAACATTTTTTTTTCTTGGACTTTTTTGTAGGTTATATATTTACGTATGCGGCTTTTTTGATTGCCTCTACTTCAGGAAAATTTGGTTAATTCTTTCGTAAGACGATGAGGGATAAGCTTCATCGTCAAGAGGGAAACAGTCCGGATCATCAGGATTTTGGTAAACAATCGCCCGAGCCTGGTCACTGTGACCCCCTTCGTGATGAGGCCTCGTGCGGCGACATGGGGGTGAAAAAAGGGAAAGAGGGGGATGGGGTTTCTCTCGCTTTTGACATAAGCAGTGACAATTGCTTTATGAAGACTCGATTTCGCTACGGCTCCGGTGGGTTCCCTTAACCAACGAACAATTTCTTATGTACCAAAGTCTAAATATTTCTTTGTTCGTAAGAGTAAGCCCTAAACATTTTCACATAGCTCAATGACTAAACAAAACATGTACCACAAATTAAAAGTTCAAAAACCACATTACACATCGAGTTAAAGTTCAAGGACCATCACATTGCACACTAGACCAAAGTTCATGGACTGTTCTTGTTATTTCCCAAGGAAATTAATCACGGAGCGATTTTTATTTTCTCTTAATTCTCGATTTATTTTTTAGACTAAGTGCGAAAAAGTGTAATTATCATCCAAGGCGGAAATTAGCATTAAAGAAATATATATTCTAAAAATGGGCCGAAAGAATCTAGTCATGGACCTCACTATAATAGAGGGGCAATTGTGACTCGACTATTGGCGTAAGCAAAAGGCAAAATGATGTGATGCCGCGTTTCTTGGCTCTTTGCGATTGTCTAAGAAATATCTCGATAGATATTTATTAGAGAAAAATGAATCGTGCTCCCAACCATTTCCTCTATTTATACATATTGATATTTAATAAAAATATCTTCTCTTATCTCTTCGTTGTGTCACTATATGATAATTATTAATTATGCCTCATCTATATCTAAGTAATTTTTTTTAGCATAACAACATAATTGGAAAAAAAATTTCATGTGTCGGTTAACGAATAAAAAAAGGTCCATCGTGTTAATATGGATTTCGGAGATGATAAGATAATGTTCGGGACACACAAAATAATTGTTCTGTGCTATGTTGATTCGGTCAATGCATGCCTTTTACGGTTAATTACGACGACGTTGCAATTATGTCAAACCGTTTCGTACTCCATCGTAATCATATTTTCGCAGGACAAAATCGGCATGGGACAGACGTCTTGCGAGATTTACTCGCTCTTTGTCGTACCCCGGAAACAAATTCTTCTCCGAGGGGAACAAAGTCCTGCGGGATTAAAATTATATCCATGCTAGAAAATCGAACGCATATATTACCAACAAGTCATTGCTCCCTGGATGTTGACTACTCCACTTGAAAGATATCATGTGAAGAAAAGGAAAAAGATAACATCCAAAAAGCATCCAGCCATCTATTCCTTCTCCCTAAAAGAATGAGAAAAATAAAAAATAAAAATAGAAAAGGCAAGTACCACCAAAAAAAAAAATCTTAAATTATTTTCGTGGAGTCACGGTCTGATTTGGGTTTTTGGCCACGGGTTGGTCCCCTTCTGAGGCGAGTGCTCCAACGGGAGTGTAAGCAAATTCAAAGACTACCAATGAGAGGAAAGAGCATGGCAGAGGACAGAGAGAGAGAGAGAGGGCGAAGGAAGAGAGAGAAAAGGGGATTGATTAGAGAATGAGAGGATTACCGTGAGAAGAGGAAACAAAAAAAAACAAATAAAAGAACGAGGAACCGCCCCGAAACAAATCGGATTTCCAATTCAACCATTATACGGTTCAGATCGCGAGCACACATGTACCAAATATGTTTAGGTCGGTTTAGATATCACGGAAATCCGAATCATTGAGACCCCTAAATTTTTGGTATTAGCATTACCGTGTGTGTAAATTTAAGATTTTGGTGACACAAAAAAAAGGGGTTTTCGGTTATTAATATCACAGTAAGTATAGTTTAGAATTGTTGACGGCATTTGATACGGAAAAAAAGAAGAAGAAGCGACGCTCCTCTCATTTTGGGCACCGTAATGGGATCCAACATGTTGCCATGTCAGGGCCGGATTTTACTCCAAGGCGTCACCCAATTAGGCCCAACACATCGAACCGAAAATGAAACGACTAAAAATTTGTCGGATAAAACTAAGAAGGAGGAAGGAAAATGAAACAGCGGCGGGCCCCCCGAAATGAAATGAACACACGTGGGAGAGACAAGCTTCCAAGCACAGCATACCAATCGAGGAGGAGGAGGAGGAGAAAGCAGGTGCGACGATGAGCGGCGTGAAAGCGGTGGCGCTCATCGCCGGCGGCGCCGACGTCAGGGGCTCCGTGCAGTTCCTCCAGCAACCCAACGGTCTCTCTCTCTCTCTCTCTCTCTCTCTCTCTCCGTCCCTCCCTCTCTTCCCGCGCGGGTGATTGATGTTTGTCCGAATCGCAGGGGCGACGCACGTGAAAGGGAGGATCAGCGGGCTCTCGCCGGGCCTCCACGGCTTCCACATCCACGCCCTCGGCGACACCACCAACGGCTGCAACTCCACCGGTCGACACCCAATTCGTTTCATCAGTTTGTTCTACTGATTATTTCATGCCTTTGTTAAGCGCGGATTGTAAATTACGCTGTTCTTCATTAGGACCGCATTTCAATCCGCTGAAGAGAAACCACGGAGCTCCCGCTGATGGCGAGCGTCACGCCGGTGATTTGGGCAACATCGTCGCCGGCCCAGATGGTTCGGTCCATTCTCTGGTTTTCCTTTGGTGCTTTCTTGTGGTTTTTTCCCTAGAGACGAAGTTCGTGGCCGTTTAGTTGATTCGGTGGTGATCGTTCGATATTTCGATATGGTGCTGCAGGAGTTGCTGAGGTTTCTATCGTGGATGTGCAGGTAATGCCATTCGAATTTCACATCAACGATGATTTTCGTTTTAGGAAGGAGGGTTTCATCGTGTGTGGCCTTAAGGGGAAGATACGAGTTCGAGACTTGTTGGGAAGAATGCGAATTGCAATCTTTATGGGAACTTTCAGCTGGTTCATAGGGCATACGCTAGAAACACATTCATAAGCTATTCTATCAAGTGAACATGGGGCAGTTGAATGAACTCTTTCGGATACTACTTGAGTTGGTCACTCTTTTAGCTGGTTGTTTGTGCCAAGTGTTATTTACCAGTTCTTTGTTTCTTCAGATACCCCTAACTGGTCATCACTCGATATTGGGGAGGGCTGTTGTTGTCCACGCCGATCCTGATGATCTTGGCAAAGGTAAGACTCGATAGTTGCCCGAAGGATCCCCTCGTGGAATGTATGTTCTTTGGCGAGACCCAACTGCGAAATTTGCGCTCTTTGGAATTGATACTGCAGCTGTGAATTCATGGGAATGATCAGCTTCTGATGCAATAGCTTGTGGATACCTCAGAGTACTATTATTGCCTAGAGGGAGCATCAAAACCGTTAAAATCAGAAAGCAACTGGCTCTGACATGGGTGGGTGGTTGCTAGGAAGATGGGGTCTGTTTTCCAAAATTTGGGTCACGAGGTGATTATATACCCAGCAAATCGAAAACCTCTTTTGGGACCTGAGAATGCTTTCAATTCGGTACCATGTACCTCAACTAATAAATTTGTCGTCGAAATCCTAGCCCTTGATAATCATGCATTTTCGTTATTTTACGCCCTTGGCAGCTATGCATTCTCATTCTTTGTTCCCATCATTCTCATTCTTTGTTCCCATCCCATCTTATATGACTACTTGACTAGTTCTTGACATTTCTAGGTTGAAGTATGTTGCCGAAGGTCTGATCTTTGCCATATGTGTCGTAATCATCTCTTTTTACTGGTTTTACCTTCTTAAACAAGCTATTTAAACAGGTGGGCATGAACTTAGCAAGACAACTGGGAACGCAGGGGCTAGAGTCGGATGCGGTAATGTGTCTGCTTTCTTACATGCAAGTGAAATACATTCTTGTCTCGTAGAGTTGAAGGCTCTCTTTTCCTGTTAACTCTACTGTTCTTCACTTGTTGCTTTTGATATCTGGCAGGCATCATCGGACTTCAGTCATCCGTTTAGAATTTACTGCGTGAACTCGAGCATACATCGCACATATCTTCCAAAAGCATGTATATAAAATCATTAGCCACCTCAAGAACGTGTTGGGCTTAGGGGCTTAGCAAGTTGCTGGCAGGGAGGGTACTCCAAGCTCACAAAGGAGTTAAATCAGAGAAGCTAAAAGCTTCATCATTGTATCTGAGACATTAAGTAGGGATCATGTATCAATGACTTCGATTGCTTTCACTTGGTATTTACCAAAGGCTGTTCCCTCTCTATTTCATCAGCGTATTGAGTTGCAGAAACAGAACACTCGAAACCTCAAGAAGAAATCAAGTTCTGCAGTCGAGCAACAGTAGTAACCTATTTCTTGCAGCACTGGTAGTGACAGAGGATTATCTCAGGTTTCGACAAACCCCTTTTATACTTGAAGCATTGCAAAGACAGCATCACATTGAAGCCGCCATCCAGAGGGGCTCTTCTTTGAACTCCTATTTTTATTTTTGGTTTTTGGTCAGAGTGAACTCCTATTTCAACAAGAAGCATTTTTCTCTTTGGTCAGAGAGGTTAGACAAGGATTGAGCACCTTTAGAACAAGAAGCATTTGTTTCAAGCTGCCTTTGTACCTTAAGCAACAGGATGGTTAGGTGAAACTAGAGGTCCTGATTATACAGTATACACAGTGCTGCCGGGAGTGGATGGAGCGTCGTGTAGATACCAATGCCTGGCTTATCAAATTTGGGATCATAACAAACACCTCGTTCAGAAGACGTATCTCCACTCCTTATCTCCAGCATGAATGGCCGATGCTACAACTTCATGATTTACTTGCACGTTTAGAAAGCTACTGATAGTGATAGCCTAACACGAAATACACATTTGAAGAAGTACCACCACCTCTTGAAAATTGCCAATCATTTCTGAAAGTTTGGGGTTTTAGCTTATGGACTTTGGAAGTTTCGTGCTATGAGCTAACGATTCTGGAGTTCTAATCCATAATTGACCCTTCCAATGGCATTCAGAAGGGTGCTCATGTCATGTGGGCTGGTTCATGACCGACCGGAAGAAATCATCTAGCCAAAGCAAATTCACTGAGTAATTCCTTAGTTGCCACACGAGACTCAAGTATGGCTTGATCATATGATCAACCCTAACTAGATTGTGTGGGAATAAAGCACTTGATCCCCTGCTTCCCGCAATGTTCATTTCAATGTCTACGTGAGGTAACATACCGTTGATGAAAAGCTCTAGCAAATGATGGTCACACAGCAATCACCACAAACTATTATGCGCAACTTTAAGTTAAACCCTTCCATATCGCAGCTTACTATCGAAATGCAATATCAACCCTCATTGCACCAGTACGGCCAAAATTTATCAATGGCGAGGTATCTTACAAGATTCATTCAGGGAGAATGAACGTGAACATGAAATTGGCCACGCACTAAATTATTGTAACAGGTATAACATGAACATGGCTGAAGTTCCTCCTACAGATGGAGCAATATGGAGCAATTCTTTCATCACCCCATCAATATCAACTAGGCAAGCAAAGATGCTGTGTACTCGAACGAGAGGATAATCATTTACGATATTATCACTTGATTGAAGCTAGTCAAACGAGAGGACTCGGACCATATCCCAAGAGTAAAGCTTTTTTTTTTTGGCTAAAATCCCAAGAGTAAAGCTTGTAAACCAGAAAGAAGAGTTATCAATAACTCCAATTTGGAATGCAATTTGCATCTTCAAAATTTAAACAGAAAGTACTGCGATTAATGAAGGTGCATTCAACTGCTAGTGCCATACATCATGGTTAAATGACTACCAACCCTCATTGCAGACTACCTTAAGAAGACAGAACCCTAAGATCTTTTTAACCTCTCAACCAGGTGTTTCTATATGACGAGTTGTCACGTAGTGAAGCATCGTGAGGCTTGTACTCCATAATGTAGTTGTGAGGAAGCTTCAAGTGCCTCTTAATAGAATCTCTCAAAGCCATAACTGACTGTAATATCAAAAGATAGTCAGAAAATTGTAGCTCACCTTGTAGCGAGACAAAAGGGAACTGAACTTTACACACCTGATTATCAGAAGCATTGCGGTTCCACACACTCAATATGTCTTCATTAAAGCGAATGCTTAACACTGCACCACATATGTCATCACTATAGTCGAGTTGATCACCAACTAAGGCAAGTACCTGGATACATGTGCAAGAGAAAATAATTGACATACATTTATGCATGCAAACAGATAACGGCAATTCCCTCACAAAAGGACCAGCATACACAAAACTATATACATTCCTCAAAAAACTTAGAAAAAAAGACTACCTTCTCTGCTCTCTCGCTTTGTAGCAGTTGTACTCAATGAACAAGATAATATGCCCTTACTTACTGCCTACTAAACTTTTACATATAGTCATGCTATATAGACTAGAGTTCTATCATTGTTGCCTTGCAAATGGAAAATGAGGCAAAAGTTCTTTTAAATAACTCACATCTTGTTTCAAACAGTTTCTTTGTGTAACTTAAGGAAAAATTCAAGTCGCAATTTTGTTTCTTTGATCACAAACTACATTTTCCGGACTCACTACTCTGTTTCAAAACCAATTGATGATTCAGGTATTGTTCAGACAACCAAATGCAATGAAGGGATTACACCTTCACTTTGAAACCATTTATAAGTGGGTTTTTATCTAAAAGTAGGGTTCAGAAAGTAACTTTTCAAACTCACCATTTTATAGCTTTGCAATAAGGGTAGGTGTGCCAACAAGCACACCAATCATTTCTTTCTTTCTAGAACAGGAGAAAATTCTGCAAAATTTTCTCTTCAAGAATGACATTTGACCTACGTGCTATGGTGACACACACACTTTGACCATAGAGTATGTGCTATCTTGGTCTTTGGACACGCTCACACATCAATTCAATGTAACATAGGACGCTGCAAGTACATCATCAGCTCACAAAAACCTTTTGCAAAAGCTCAAGCTTGGGGGAAACAAAAGAAAAATAACATTGCTCAATAGATGATATATAATCCAGCAACTGGTGGAAAGTGTGGGCAAAGAATAAGTTTCCTAAATATGTTATTTCTTACCAAATCCTCCCAGAAGCGGCCAGACACCACCTTTTTAAACCGTATTATCCACTTTCCACCATTGCAATTGGCTGAGTCCTGAAAGTTTGATCTTTTCAAGGGTTATGCATCATGCAGCCACACATGACTGACAAAAAGTGGCTAAAAGCATAGGAGAAATAACTAAATGAAGAATCAACATCGTAATCATCAAGGACTGCAGAACAAAAGCGTCACCTCCCATAGAGGACGGATTCCATCTTTAAAAAGATGCAGATCTGTTGGGCTTGGCAGAGCAGAAGGGCGAGCCAAGTGGCAATAGCAGACCCAAAAACCTTCGACCTATACACAGATAATGTTCAAGAACATTTGTTTAGTCTGCCATGACTTCATCTTGAAAAACAACTGTCTACATGAATTACCCTGTGATGGTCAAGATGATCTTACCGTACTAAATTCAACAATTTTCTTTATATTGTCCTCATATGATGTTTGCGTCCTAACTCCAGGAGTTCGACGAGTGTACCAGAAAACAAACTTGTACTGCAACAACAAGAAGCAACACCAAATGATAAGCTATGGTCCTAAATAAGAAGCACAACATCCATGTCAATATAACTTACTTGAATCGCATCCAAATTAACTATCCTAATTATCGGTGTCATGCTAAGATTACCAATTACCAGACAACGGTCTTACATTTGGTGGAAGGTGAAATGGAAATGTGAAAACTATAAGGAGCACAACATCTTCCCCTGCTTTCTGATGTACCAATTCTAGTGAGGATCCTCTATAAAGGAAGCAATACCTAATCCCCCAGAACATATATTCCCCAGAATGCCTATGTATCCACACACGAACAAACCAAACTCAATGTACCGGTAATTCAAAACAACTAAACCAGAAAAGAAAACAATGGGAACACCCATTTTTGCTGCTCATTATCCACCTCTTCCAAACTCAAAAGGAAGCAATTTCATGACCCAAACCTATCTCAAAATAAATTTCGACCAGCTGACAGAGAAAACTTAAATTTCTTCTTGCATATATATAAAAGGGGCATCATATCCAGCAGTCAATTCCCAAGTATGGGCAAACGATTTAGACACCAGGGGGGAAAGACGAGAAAATGAAAACTCTAAAATGGGTGAATGACAAAACAAATAACCTCAAAGAGGTCAAGCCACAACGTCCTCAAACGCACATGATTAACCAAGCCGACACCGCCATGCTCGAGGCAAATGCCAATCGGGGACGCCATGCCAATCGTGCTGTGCCGATGACATTCGAGGTTGAAACTAATCGCGGATCAGAACACACACAGACCCACTCGCCCAAAAAGGCTCCAATTTCACCAATAACCCATTCCACTACAGTCATTTCAGATTAAAAACGCGAACTTCGATCAAATTGAACAACGCCCAACATCACCAACACATCGCAAAGCGCAGGACGCGAGAGAGAGAGACAGAGACAGAGACCGAGAAATAGACCTTGAGAGGATGGAGGCCGGCTTTGAGCTCGCGAGCTTGGCGATCGCGTTGCTCCTGGGTGTAGCCATGGCCATCGGCGGATTCGATGAGCGACTGCGAGCCGCTGCTGTTGCTGTCCTCGTTGTGGTGCTCGGGCTCCTTCTCTGCTTCCACTTCCATCTCTCCTCGCTTCGCAGCTTATCGCTTTCCAAGAGAAAAGCCACAAAAACGAAAAGCAGCCCTAACTTTGAACACGCCTCTTTTGACTCTCTCTGCCTGTAGACTCGAACGCGCCTAATCTCCAGAAGTCCAGATGGCGCTGGTGCGCCGTGCGCGTGCGACGCCGCCGACCTAATTAACAGATGAAAATCTGTCATATTGGATTTTTCTCTTCTTCTTTTTTTTTGGGTGAGGCGATATTTTTTTAATATATATATATGTGTGTGAATTTTTATCGTTATTAATTTAAAGAGTTAATTTTTTTGGGTCGAGTTTAGTGAGTTAATTTACTTGCTGAGAAAATAGATTAGAGGTCCGAAATGGCTCAGAAGCGCCATAAGCACTCGTGTGGTGTCAATTGTATCTTGCTTAGAATGACGCAGTTAGAATGATTATGAACCAATGACATTGTTATCGTAATTTATGTCGTTGCGAATCGAGACATCATAAAACGATTTATAAAGTAGCGTACTCATTCAATAGGTCGCCTAGGTTTTTATTTTGGATAAAAATCATCGGGATAAATTCGAATTATTGCACACTTAAAAGTCATTATCTTGTTCCATTTTTTTTTTATCTTGTTCCATTTGAAGAGTGGTAAGAATGAAAACTTGGCCAATCATGTACGATTAAGATCATAAATTCATACCGAATGCTATCAAATTTTAGTGCATGCAAAAAAGATTACCTTTTTTTCGCTTCACTCATTTAATCTGAAATTTGTGGGCATCGATCCCTCATTTTTCTCCCTATCTTGAGTCTCGATTATCGATTATGAGCACTCTTTTCATCCATTGTTTCATGAATAATTATGTTTGTCCGGCAACATTTGAAGCAAAAAAACCTAAAAAGGTAGTTAGTCATACAAAACAGCAACGATACCAGATGGTTTATTAAGTATAACCCTCGCCAGAGATGCACTTTGACACTTTCTTAACCAAAAAAAGCACCTGGTAGTTTCACAATACACAAATATTGCTCAGTAAGTTCACGTATTATTTTCTCATGATTTCTTGAAATTTGAGTTTCATATAAATATACGGCGGTAAACTAAAAGTTGTTTTTCGACAAGAAAAAAACTAAAAGTCAATTTTTGTCTTTTAAAAAAGCATAGAGAAATTAATCGAAAGAGTTTTTTTTTTTGGATATGTTTACTAGAAGTCTTAAAACTTATCACAAAAGTGCAATAGAATACTAAAACTTGTCAAATTAGTTCAATCGAGCCTTAAAGTTAACACCGTCTTATTTACTAATAGAAAATGCTGATGTGTCTTATTTTATTACTTCTTTTGAGACACGCAACGATAATGTGGCATCCAACAAGCGCCATAATAGAAAAAGATAACAAAAAATATAAATTATATTAGAAAAAAAAACTAAAATTAAAAAAAAAAAAAAAACAGAGAGCCACGGCCAGCAACTATGGCAAGCCCTTGTCGGTGGCCGCCACCACAGCCGTAGGGAGGGCCAACAGAGGTCGCCTAGGCCTTCCCGAAACCCGACGACCCTCGTCGGCCTCGGGCAAGGCCCCAATTTGGTGGAGGGCACAACTCTCACCCTACATCTAAGTGATGCTCAGGCCAGCAACACATAAATCCTCACTCTTGTCTTTCTGCCTAGTATGATTCTTTAAAGAAATGTATGTGTACTGATGAGTTCTGGTAGTATGCTCTGTACTTTCCATAATATGGAACTTGTGCATCATAATTCTACTACCATAAAGCAGTTTTAAGGTGCCAATCAAAATTCAAATGGGAGCTTGCTGGCTAAAAGGCAGTCCTTTTTTATAGAGACCTGAATAGCTATTTGTACGTGGGATAGCATACCTGCAACAAGTATTGTCTTTGTTTTCCCTTATTTACGGGTATCAGAGCGAGCGCTCTGTTTCAGCATACTCATTTGTTTTTAGATGAATTACTAGGTAGAAAAGGTAGACTCATTCCATCATGAGTGATTTTACCGATTCCAATCCATCAGTTACTGTTAATGCCCCTTTAAATCTCCATACTTCAAATGTTTATAAAATTGACTATTTTTACGAGGTTTCATACCTTAATGAAGATAGCAAAATTTCGAAAACTCATCTTCCCCTTATTAATCCATATTCTGCTTTCACCAAACCCCCCCTTTCTCTCTTTTTCAATCCATCAAACAACTCATCAAACATACACCCCGATAAGTTAAGGAATATGTCAAGTCATCTCAATTCGACCAGCATCTTATTCCTGCTACTAAGCAAGAACATTTTGTTACCCTCCATTACCTTATGATTTTCCTTGTTAATTGGTACAACAAGGGTATACGCATCTTTATTTCGGCGATATCCGTTTTGTTCTATCCTTCCATGATAGAAAAGGGTTATGTCATGAGCCTGCAGTTCTAGCCCCGTACGGCGCCTGGTGCGTTGTTCACACCAGGCCAGCCTTCTTTCATTAGCTTTTCCAAAGAACAATATGGCGAATAGCTTCCTTATATCGGATCGTACCACGCTCAGAATAATTCAGGTGTCTAGTCCATCAAGCAAAACACATAGATCTTATTTATGTATGATGCCATGGCCTCATCAGGAGAGTGGCATCAGCTCTCGACCAGTTTGTGCACGAGAGGCTAACCCTGCTTTCAGAGTTATTAAGGTATATTCGTTTCATCTTAGAACTCCTAGCCCTAACCGTCTTGACACCACTTCCACGACCTAGTTGCATTTCATCCTTTCTACGTTCTCACTCTTCACTCGATAGCTCCAGGCACCACTCACGAGGGTATAGGAGTACGAGAGAATCACAGTCTGTAACAGTTACCTATTGTTGCTTGCATGGCCCTTCTAGATATTCGTTCTTTGGATTACCAACATGCTTGTATTAGTACAATCCAAACCGCTCTTAATATCGAAACAATGTTTGTTACGTTGTTTCCAAATTTCAACATGGCTCTTACGGACCCAAGATTCCTCTCATTCCTTAAAGTTCAGCTACAACTGACATGAGCTCCTTGAGGGTTGCGCCCTCCCCACGATTGGGCCCTGCAGGCCCTCCTCAAGCTTTGGGAAGGTTCAGGCGACCTTCGCTGGACTTTTTCTGTAGCTGTGGCAGCGTCCTACTAGCTGTGGCTCTTTTTTTTTTTTTGCTTTTTTCTTTTTAACTTTTAGCTTTTTATAATTTAATTTATATTTTTTTATCATTTTTTGGCGTGACGCTTGTTGGACGTCACATCATCGCCACGTGTCTCAATAAAAATAATAAAATAAGACACGTCAGCATTTTCCGTTAGTAAATTATATGGTATTAACTTTATGACTTAATTGAACCAATTTGATAAGTTTTATGACTCGATTGCACTTTTTACAAATTTTAAGATTCAATTGCATTTTCATGATAAATTTTACAACTTCTAGCGTACATATCCCGTTTTTTCTTTTTCTTTTTCCAAGCGCGTCCTCTTTGCCACGTCACCGACGCGCCTCGCGAGGCGGCTTGGTGCTCGAAAAATAGATTATCTTTAAATTCATTTCGCCAGTCGCGCAATAATGGAAAAAAAAACAAAAATAAATATAAATTGAAACGAACCTCCCCCCTTTTTCTCAGAAAGAAAATCATTTGATAATTATCCAACAGCCAGAGAGAGAGAGAGAGAGAGAGAGAGAGATAGAGGAAGAGGAAGAAGAAGAACCAGAAGAAAGAGGAAGAGGAAGAAGGGGAGGAGGAAGAGGAAGCAAATGGATTCGAGCAGATTACGTTCCATTTCTGGCAGAAGAAGATAGACCAGAGGCCAGAGCCCCACCCCATCTTGTCGGCTTCCGACAACACCCCCCCCCCCCCCCCTCTTCCTCTTCTTGAATTTTCCTTTTTTTTATTTTTTCTTTTTTTTTTTTATCTTCTTCTTCTTGTCCCCGGTCGGTTCCTGCTGGGTTCGGCCTCCCCCTGCTCCTCCAGCCTCTTCTGCGCCTTCCCGTGTCGTCGTCGTGATCGTGTCCTCCCACCGCCGTGTCGTGTCGTGTCGTGACGTGAACCCTTCTCCCTCCCCTCCAAATGGCTCCTCCGTCCGTGGCGGCTTCGCTCCTCCTCGTCTGCATCGGCGCGCTGTCTCCCCTCCTGGCGCGGCTCGCGTCGTCGGAACCGGCCCCCGTTTGCCCCCGGGAGTCTCCTCCTTTCTTGATTGGCTTGCAATCGCGGTGCTCCGGCTCGATCTCGCCTTCTCCGCCTCTCCAGGTGCGTCGTTTGGCTCGATTTGATGCCTCGGGTTTGCTCTCCCTTTCGCGCTTCCCCCCCGTCCGATGAAGTGTTGGTCGGCGTTGTGATTGTTGTGAGGATTGGTTTGGATGGGGTGTTTGATTTTGGCTTGGTGATTTGTTGTTCTGGGGAGGCTTTAGATTTTTACTGATTTCTTTTGGATTGTGGATGAATGCGTTGACTTTTCCTTTTGGTGTTCGGTGGTGAGAATGGTATATAATTCTAGGATCAACATAATTGTAATTGAGATATGATAGAAATCTTTGGTAGAATCTGTCATTTGGATGTGGCTCGAGGGCCTTGACTTGAGCTTCAGTGTTTCTTTTTTCCCCCAACCTAAGTCTGCCGGATTTAGTTCTACTTGACGAAAGGGCTATCGAAAATAAGGATCTTGATATTGTTTCTTTGCTTTAAAAGGTCAGTTCTTCGCACTCGTGTAATGACTTGGTAGAAGGCATCTATTGGGACACTTTAAATGGTTTAGCAGTTAAATGTTATTATTGCGCACTTCACTTCTTCGGAGACTGGAGAGTGATAATTAGATGTGTGGGAAGGACTTTTGCCACATATATACATTTGGGGCTCTTGCTTGTTTACATAGGCTCTCCACTGTCTTATTGGTAAGTAATTTTAGGGTAGAAATCATATTCTAGCAATCATACATAGGCATATCAAATGCCCAAGATAGAAGCTGCTATGTCATTGTTATCTTTAATGTTCATGTACCTTTAGTTTCTTCTAATCTGATGCTGTACTGTTTCAACTTTGCCGTTGTTTTATAATGTTAGTAAATAGCCATAATTTTCTTAGCTCCGCCACAACCCAAACCACCCCCCCCCCCCCCCCCCAAAAAAAAACAAAATAAAAACGAAAAAAGAGGATGGAAGAATCATTCTGAATTCCCTACATAGATTTCATGCTACATTTAGTTGCTCCTGTACTTGAAGACATCTGATGTATCACTGGTGAATGTTGTCTTCATCTAAACTGTATGACTATATGAGATCTGTGACTTTTTCACGGAATCCCGGAGAAACTATGAGATTTCTTTGATTTTCTTTCTTTGCGAAGGAGAAACCGAGAAAAGAATATTTTAACACAGGGCGGGCAATGGATGGAGAGTAAACAGGAGAGAACAGCTGACTCAGGCAGTGTGCCTCAAAGATCTGATTAAGTTCGTCGTAAATTAAATGGTGAACGGTGGGTTAGAAAGGACCATGTTGGGAATAGTCCGATTCTGTGAAATATCAAATATGTAAGGCCATCTTTTGGAGAGACCCTCGGTAATTATGTCGGGGAATGCTTGTCATTGTCTTGCAGAAGCGAATTTTTATCCTAATAGTTTGTCACGAACTCACGATGCTGTCTAGCAGCTGATCAATGGCATTTCTAGGACTTCACTTGGATGATTAGAAATTATTTTGAAATTCACTTTACTCAATCAACTTCCTCAGAGATGTTTCATATGTTGAATGGACATGGTAGTATGAGTTAGTCGATACACCCATAGGATCGACTCAGAGGTTAAGGCCAAATTATATGTGCGGATTAGGTGCCCCTTACAAGTTTGATTCCCACACCACCAAGTACAAACAATTCCAGGTGTTTACCTACCTAAGGTGGGATGCCTCAATCCTAATTATTAAAAATATAAGTCAGTGTATACCTAGGAGAAGTGTGAAGAAGCTAACATAGATTTTGACAGATCAGAATATCTGCTTGAGAATCCTTGTTGTTTCAGTGAAATTGGATAGCTTCAGTTCATCAAAGCTTGTCTTCCTATAATGGAATGCATGGGATCTAGACAAGATTAGTGTTTTAGCTTTAGAATGCTTGTGATAGATTTATCTGTCACTGACAATTTATTTAAGGACTTGTGCCCATGTGTTTATTCTGCGGATTTTTCTGTCATACATGAATTTCTGCAATGTAATTCTTGCCATTAGTTGTCTTCTGGTTCCCCCATCAAATAGTTCGTGTGTTTTGAGTGGAGGAGAAAGCACGAGCATGCGAAATTTTTTAGATGTGTTTCAGATGGAATCTTGTTTACAATGATTAGTTGGACAATAAGCTAAAATAGAAATCGAATCTTTCTTCTGGTACACAATTGGTATGACCTTATGCGCCTTGCTCGATAATCTGGTTTGATTTGTCGTCCAAACAATCCCGTACCTAGACGAATCTAAAATAGTAGTTCTCCTTTTTTATGCCTAAATATTGCTTTCATAAGTGGTCATAGTTTATTGTTGGTTGTCGTTGTTTGGGAACAATCATTAAGCAAGATGCTTGGGATTCTTTTAACATTCCTTGTTAGACCCTTGATGTTCGAAAGGTGTTGGATGTCTTTTTTGTTTATTTAATAGAAGGAAACTCATATGCATTAGCAAATGATTTTCAATCATGTTTGATTATATCGACTGTTATGCTAGCTGAAATATGAGTATTTTATAATGCGTCTGACATAAAGTGAGTATATTTTACGGTGTGAATATTCTTATTGACTGTTTAAGCACCAGAAGTATGGCATCGTATTTATTCATTTGCGTTTGTCCATTTACTCATTAACTGCTATATTTGTGGGTTGGGCTTTGCTAGCACAACAATCTTTGAGCCACTGTGACAGAAACAGCATGTTGTGATCCACAAATTCTTGAAGGAGTAGATCCCACAACAAATTTTTTTTTTGACCCAGAACAGGCTGTTAATCTTACGGTAGATTAAGGACGGTCACTTAATCATTTCTTGTGGGTTAGTATTTGTGGAGGACTTAACATACTCAGAAGGCTTTAGATGAATCCCTTTCTCTTTCTCACGATTTAACCCACAGTAGATTGTAGCATCTGGAAACGATGCTTCTTATTCTCGAGTGAAGATAAAGGTTGTTTGTTCACCCTCTTTTGCATACGTAACCTTTAGACTGGTCTTGGTCTCATGTCTTCTTACTTTTCTAATCTTATCTTATCCACAGCATTAAATACTGAAGAACCCCTATTTCGTCTTCCTCAAGTTTCTCTTGCATGAATTGCCTTTCTTTGATTGTGGCAGGATGCTGCTTGCCCCAATTATTTCATTCCGACGCTTCACAATAATACTGTGTCCTGAGTCTGGAGTTCTACTAATACGACCTCTTATTTTACTGTGTTCAGGTGGATGGGAACTTCCTCGATAGTTTTTTGATGTCCAAACAGCATAGTGGATATACTACTGTACTTTTCTATGCTTCATCATGCCCGTTTTCGCAGTCTATATGGCCTATGTACGAAGCCCTTAGCTCCATGTTCCCTCAAATAGATCATTTGGCAGTCGAGCAATCTTCAGCTATGCCAAGGTTTGTGCTGATACTGTTTTTACTAGTTATACTGTGGAAAATGGTGTTTTATCTTGTGTGGCCAGGCTCTCTTGAACATGATTGATATAGGTATTATATAGTTGAAGCCACATGATGGGAACACCAACCCCACCCTCTTTTTTTGGTTGTTATTTACAGTACAGTTCTTACAGATGAGGCTTACAGCTTTGTTCTACCTTTTCTTTGTGGTGGAAGCTCGTATTATGTGCATTAGGCAAACTTAAGAGAGTGTAGCTACTCCTGGGGGGATTTGTCAAAAACTACTCGAGTATTCAAGAATACACAACCCCACAGACTGGACTGTTTTCAAAACCGATTAGACATTAAATAAAGTAATGTCTAGAAGTTAGGACATAGTCATTCTGAGGACACGAAAGGTGGGTAGATAAAGGGATATTTGAAAGGAAGACAGTAATGATTTCATGAAAATCACAGTAGTAAACCTATTTTAATTGAAATGCATCCTCGATTAACTGTGTCTTGTAACGGTTTTTAGTATACTATTGCTGTGTCAAATACTTTGTCATTATTCGTGAAAGCTGATTCCTCTATTAAACTGTTAAATGGTAGCCGCAGTCTTGTATTATCAACAGGATACATGGTCAACAATAAGAAAGGTCCATGGTTCTTTCTTATCAGTCCTTCTGGGTTTTCTGCATTAGGGATTTTGTTTTGCTTTTTTATTCGAGTTATTCTTGTGCTTATCTCGGAGCTGGTTTTGCAGTGTATTTTCAATATATGGGATCCATAGTTTGCCATCTATATTATTGGTGAATCAAACTTCGAGGTTGCGATACCATGGTCCAAAAACTCTCGACTCTATTGTGGAATTTTACGAGACAAACACAGGTAAATGATTAGATTGAAGTGCCCCTTATCAATAGAGCGCTGTTAACCCAATAGCTTTTATTTGATGCAGCCAATTTTGGCACAAAATGAACTCAGTTTGTGACATTTTGGATGCTCATTTTTCTTCTGTATGCAACACAGGCCTTCAACCTGTACAATCCGTCATGGTAGAGCAGCCAGCTGGTCTTCAGACTGGCAAAAGTTCCAGAGCACATTTCAAGGATGTGCTGTCGATGAAGAACATAAACAGGGAACCGTATCTGGCTCTCTCGCTGCTGTTTTCTTGTTTGAGATTACTCATGGCCATATTCCCTAGAGTTGTGTCACGTTTGAAAGCTTTCTGTGTCTCGTATGTTCCTCATCTGAACTTGGAAATATTTGGCGAGGCAACTCAGTTATTGGGGCGTGCGGTTCATGCTATTGACGTGAGGAGGATTTGGACAAAGGTGAGACTTGGCAAAGCCAGGAGCTTTCACGAAAGGGCAAGGAGCGCCCGGGTTTGGGCTTCTTCTCTGGCTTCTGTCTCGTTGGGCGAATCCTCATCGGCTAAATCATCATCTCCTTAAAACGGCTGAATTCGTGCCTCCATATGCCAGAGGGTGGTCGAGAAATCTAACTAGAATGCTACAAACTACTTATTAGATGCTCTGCGACAGGTTGTTTCACTCTCACACTTTTGATGTAATATCTGTAAGTGGAGTGGAGATTTTAATGTTAGAATACTCCAAATAGCCGAAAGCTGTTTTCCTTGTTTTGCCCCTTCTTTGTTTTTTCTTGGGAGGAACCAGCGGAGCATTGTATATCTGAGAACAGCTTTGTCTTTTGTGTATATGATTTTCCCTTTCGAATCATATCTGTATGATGCACTTGAACTGCTTCAGATCTCTCCCCCTCTCTCTCTTTCGGCACCTTAACTCCTTGAGTCTGGATCCAAGTTTTCCCTTTCGGTTCGAAGCAACTCAATTGGGTCAGCTGACCAGGCTGAATTTAAGCTTGAACTCTGATGCTCCACGGCTTGCTTGCTCGTTGAAGGGCCCTGCTTTCCTTGACCTTTCGGTCGTAGCAGGAAGTGCCCTTTCTTTCAGCTATTCTTGATGGTTCTAGCTTGCGTGCATCTCTGGGAATCTTCATATTTGACTTTTGGACGTTTGATGGCAGACCAAACAAACCACCTCTAGTCTCGAAACCTATTTCTTTACAACTGACAATGAAGTCTCATGTTCAACAATCTTCCCATCACGTATTATATCATATTCACCTAACATGAGTCCCTAGGTTTTTCTTTTCTCCGCGGGCGCGACGGTCGAAAACCCACGAAAAGAGAAAGCGAACAGACGACATTAAACCTACATCTGCACTTCTAGAAAACACAACTCAGCATCGCTTTTGCCATGTTAGATGAAACTCTCTCCTAGTTTCATATTTCGGGGGACGTGGCCGGTTCATTTTCAGTCACGAGCGACGGTGGGGTTAAACTTGTGAGAATGCAAAAGCCAAGCACTTGGGTAGTGCACGTAATAGGAACACGAGCGACCAAAACGAGCACGCAACCGTTGGCTGTACAAGGAGCCAAGACACATGTTGATGTTGCTTGAAATGGCAGCAAGCGACACTTTAGGACGCAACTGTTGACTATTAAGAAACTAGATTCTATAAAAAGATCCTTTTCCTTTGGCGAAAATACTAGTCAGGGATTGGATCCATTGAATTGACTTGGATCTCGAGGTTAAAAATGGGAATCATCTTCGTATAATCATGACCCTTAATTTATATTGATCTGTATTATTCAACTGCATGCGTAGAATCATATTGGGAATTGGATGTGACACCGATCTTCTACCAATTATATCTCACGAACCCAAATCCGATTTCTCTTGATGTTAATGAGAGAGAAAAGAAAAAAAGGGAAATAAATTGTGTCACAAAAGGGTCCATATGCTTGCCGAATTGAAGATTCAAAAAAGATTGCGAGACACGTCCAAGCGAAGTTTAGAACATTCTTCACAATCATATTTTTAGTATTAAACCAAATCTTGCTAAAAAAAAAGCTCAAAAAAGATACCGAGGCATGGACAGTTGTGAGGACTTTCACTTTTATCTTTTTCTTTTTCACTCCTTTTTCACTCCAAAGGCCATCCTAGTCCCTATCATTCCCACGCACCCTCAGCCAAGCAACCGACAAACAGACACTCTCTCTCTATCTCTAGAATCTGCTCATAAGCCCTAAAGCAATTGGATCAGTGTGTTTGAAGCTATGCACTTCGACCAGATTGGGGGATGTTCTAATTGCAGGACTGACTTGCTTAAGGACATGCACACCTCAGAAATCTAATGGACCAAGGCAATTTGGTTGAAAATATCCCACAAAAAGAATATGGTTAATATTTTGGGGGGGGACGAGGAGTTGAAAATGGAAAGGTGCACATCCAAGAACTTTTCAAAGACGAAATTTTCCTCAACGTGGGGCCCAAACGGACCACCTTCCATTTGTCCCACTCAATGGAAGGATAAGCACTCCCCTCAGACCCTGTCATATCATCCAGCCTCCCTCCCTCCCTCCCTCCCTGCTAATTGGATTCAATCTTCCCAGTCCAAAGTGCAAGAGGACGCACACACACACCAATCTTGGGGAGGCTTCCTCTCTCACTCGAATTCCACGTCACACTCCATGATATAACCCAAACCCACCTCCCTTTGGTTCATTAATTCCAAAGGGTCGGCAGCAAAAGAAATCAAACCCCCCATAGAAGCAGCACTCTTTTATATTAACCTTCTCTCCCACAGCACCAAGTACCCCCCCCCCTTCCCATTAAGGAGTCCCCCCCCTCCCCTTGTAAAAAAAAAAAATGGATCTTGATGAGTGGGAGTTGCTGCCTGTCGATAGCTATCTTGATTTCAATGAGGGTGACAAGGTCTTCTCCAGGAGGCACGGCCCCCCTCCTGATCAGAAGAGTGTCTTCAACATGGATTACTTCCGGTGCCCGTCCCCGAATCCGAAGGCGCCGAGCCGGGTCGTCCCCGTGCCGATCCAATTCGATCCGCCGGCCCCGGATGAGAGGCTGATGAGGGAGATCATCGAGGTGCCCGTGGAGATCAAGCTCCCGTCCCTGATCACCGAGAAGATGATCAAGCCTCCTGATGACGGTAAGGCCGTGGGACTGGAGGAAGCTGACCAGGACATGGTCTCCCAAGTCTTCTTCAAGAAGATGACGGAACCCGAATTCGCCGACATGAAAATGGACTCGCCGAGGTCCGGCACTCGAGGAATCGTTGTGCCCCAGATTGATGCCGGAGCCTTTCAAGGCGAGGCAGTTCTTGACAGTTCTTGCTCTCCAAGAAAGAGGCACGAGGTCACCGCCAGAGATGTCGTGGGCGTGACCAAGAAGCAACAGGGCAGTGATAGTGATGCAGAGGAGGCCGCTTGGGATGAGAATAGAGGTGGTCTGAACATATGGAAATGGGGCTTCACAGGGATTGGAGCTCTCTGCTCTTTCGGTGTCGCTGCTGCTACTGTCTGCATCATCATTCTTGGAAGCCAGAGGGCTAAACAGAGCCAGCGGAATCAGAAGCATCGGTTTCAGATCTACACCGATGACAAGGTGCGGCAAAATTTCCCCAAATTGAGCACTCTTTCATGCAAAAACTGGTTGGAAGCCTGTCCTTTTGGCCTTATCTTATAAGTGCTACACCAATAAGGTGATGTCTGCATGAGCTTTCTCTGGTTGATATGCTGCTAAAACAAGTGAATCATACATGGGACTTTCATCAAAAACCCGGTATTCTATGATCTGCAATCTTCTTAAATCAGCCAAGAAAAGTAATATGTACAGCGTATTAACTGTGAAATTAGTGCTCAAGAAGCCTTCCCAAAGAAAAAACAAAACATGTTTTCTTTCAAATTCCAGGTGGTGCATGCCATTAGTTATTTCTCAATTCCCAATCTTAGGAACTTTTGGAGCTGAAACCAAAGCCTAAAAGGCCTGATTTTGCCAAAGAAAAAAACACTGAGGAGCTCAACATGTGATTTGCAGAGAATTAAGGAAGTGGTTCATCAGGCAACCAAGCTGAACGGAGCAATTTCAGCAGCGAGAGGGGTTCCTCTGAGCAGGGCTCACATAACTTACGGAGGTTACTATGATGGCATTGGCATTTGAAGAGAAATTGCCACATCGGTTTGGTTTGCACAAAAGAGATTCCTGAACGAGGTTCGTTAGGGTCCACAATCTCTATTCTCTAGTATGTTTTGCCAATGCAGATTCTCCTTATACCAGATTGACCATGTAGGGTCTTCTCTATCTGTTAGTGTATATGCACTTAAAGATCCTTACTTTTATCTGCATTTTGGATGATGGGTTCCTTATTTATTATTATATTTTGTGTATAATTGAATATGATACAACACTAATTAGTATAAGCTGTTATGGTGGTTTATGTCATGAATTTGACGGAGCCTAGAGTCGTTAGGTCAGTCGTTTCACTGATCCATTATCATGAGTCGATAATCGCATCTTCGTTGTGAGAGTGGATGAATCTCCTTTGATAATTTCGGGTCACGAAACCACCATGGGATTGTGGTTGCGATTAACAAAGTAAATCTCGAGTGGGATGTTTTACCATGGCGCGGTACGAAGGGCATGCTCGGCATTTGATTTGTGCCGTTCGTCGGAACAATTATTCAACTGATTAATGTTTTGGCAGTACGACAATATAGCTAGCTGAGTGTAGGATTTGCACCAATCCTGTGGGCCAAACTCTGGATTAGCAGTGAACTTCTAGTTAAATGGAAAGAGAATCATGCACTATATAATTTCAAGGTCTAGCCTCGGCAGTTGTATGCGAAAAATTAATACTTTGATGGATGATGGTTGCTCTATTGAATTATTGGGTCATAGATGCGGGGTCAGTCTCGACCATCGAAGATATTTTTTCTAATGCCAGGCCACGATAGAGATGGTGACTGATTGAACAGGTGACCCTAATCCAAACAAGGGACTTCAATTGAGCCATGATGTCCATGACCCACATAGAAAACTGGTTCCTCGCTGTCTTTATGGTGCAAGTTAAATGTTTCTGAATGTCTCCTTGTCAAAAGGTGATGACGATGGGGTTTCCACCAGGATTTTGAGAGATTGGTTTGATCAAGCGATGGATTGCAAGAGGACAACCCCATGTCATTGGCAATCCCATTCGATCTGCCCCGATCGGATGGCATATGGCCCGTGACATGAGCAAACATTCAGAGGCAGACAAGAGAATCGGTTTCGGATGTTCTTGATTAATCGGAAATGGCAATCACCCATCATTTCCTTAGCTAGATATATTGACTTAGGAGGGACGGTGAACAAAGAAAGCATGTTTGATTTGGTCCCGTTATATTTCCACAATTTCCGAGAGAGCCTTTTTGGTACAGTCTTTCCATGACAGTTACACTTCTGTTCTGAAAGTGGGTACAAACACAAGGTGTTTAGCAAAATTCTTATAATCAGAACAGCTTTTTATGAAGTTGTCTCGCTTGGTTTCGATATATTATCAAAACAAGTTAAGCCCTTCGAGGCGAAATTGTGACCCGGCACAACCATAGCACGGTCGTAGTTATACCGGACAAACGCTATGCTTTATGGGACATTTTCCCTGAAATTGTAGAGCTTTCGCATTGGTCTTGTTCCCCAAACACTGACAGGTTTCTGTACTTGCATCTTGCAGTGTGTGCCTAAAATTCTATGTAATGGCAAGGAACTTGTGATCAATACGGATTAGGCAGGATTGGCAAACTTGGGGAGATAAAGAAATATTAGGAATAGGTACTAGCTGTTGCCCGGAACATTATAAACCCATACCTAATGCTGTACTTAATCCAAACTTTAAAGTCTTATTCAAGCAGCTAGGATAATGTCAACCAATTATGCATATCCATTCCCTTTCATTAACCTCCGGCTTTAAAAGTGGGCCTGGCACTGATTCTAGCTTCTTTTTTTTTTTTGGTCGAACACTGATTCTAGCTTAGGTGTTCGCGTCTTTGATTAGTTTACACAAGCAATGTCGTATCCACCAAAAGACACGTGAAGTTAGCAACCCCATTAAATATATTGAAGCAGATAAAGCATCATGATTATATTTATGTCTCCTCAAAGTAAGACGAACAGATACTGTTTAAATATAGGGTTAATATCACCAAAAATTTTAAATTATATCACTTATAACATATTTACTTCAAAAAAAAAAATTTGACACTAAAAATTTCAAATTATACTCATTGTGACATATTTACCCCAAATTTTTTTTTTGTGACGCCAAAAATCTCAAACTATGGACTTTGTAACACATCTACCTTGATTACAATTCCGTCCAAAATTACTATTTATCGTCTTCTCCAAGAAAAATTGCACTGTTCATGGTCTTCGAAGTTACTTTTCATCGCCTTCTTGCTCGGGCGAAGCTCTTCCGGAGCTCGTCCGTCGCTGCCCATTGCTGCCTGGACCTCCGGGTGCCGACCATGGCGGCCGCTCGAGCTCGAAGCTTGGCCATGGCCGCTCCGCTTGTGCTTGAAGCTTGGCCATGGCGGCCGCTCGAGCTCAAAGAGCTGAGGCTGCTGAGAGAGGAAGGCGGAGGTGGTGATCGATTGGACGGAGTGAGGAGGGGGATTGCGGACGGCGTGGAGGAGAGCGCGGGTCCGGGCGAAGATCGACGCATGAAACGCCATTGATGGGAGCTCGATCGGAGGAGGAGGAGGAGGAGGAAGACGACGACGATGGGACGACATTAAGAAAGACATTCGGGTACGAATTCCTTGCTTCAGCTCTTATCAAGAATCACTACCTTTAATCAACCACGAGTTTTTATCTTTCTTCGAACGCAAATTAATAAATGCCCCCCGGCTTTCCTCGTTTGGGTTTTTCTCAATTTTCTTTATGCTGCTTGAGGCGGTGTTGTGGGTGGCTTGATTTGGTATCAAGTTTGAGTTTTTGCATCGTCTGCTTCTTCGAAGCTTGTTCTGAACTTCTGATGATGTGGGGTTTTTGAATTTGTATGGCAATTTTGAGCTTCACTGGAGGTACGGTTCTCTGATGGCCTACAATACCCAAAAAACACATGAAGTGCCAGCCTGTGTAAATATTTCTGGTTTTAAAGCTTCGAGCTTGAGCGGCCGCCATAGTCGGCAACTACGACGAAGCTCCCGGAGGTCCAAGCGGTAATATGCAGCGATGGACGAGCTTCGGAAGAGCTTCGGCCGAGTGAGAAGGCGATGAACAGTAACTTCGAACACATTGAACAGTGCAATTTTTTCTTGGAGAAGACGATGAATTGTAACGGACGGTAGATATGTCACAAAGTGCATAGTTTGGGGTTTTTGATATCACAAAAAATAATTTTGGGTAAATATGTTATAATGGGCATAATTTGAGATTTTTTGTGGTATTAACCTGTTTAAATAGCGAGAACAATTTATTATGATCAGAATAAATGTAGAAGCCGCGTGGGAATGGACCTAATATGGAAGGAGGCATAAACGATTGATATCAAAATGGGGAGGCCAACATAGTTCTCTCTCAATGCTCAGGCAATTAGATTTAGATAATGAAAAACTATGCTTAAATTCGGAAAAATGACTCACTTTTAAGATTTAAAACTCAATTTTTTAGTTACAACTGGATTTGAGCACCCGGGCTCGGGACTCCGATGCCAGGGCACGAGTCCCCAAGGCCAAACCAAAGTCTTGTGCCTGAAACCATGCGGCTGGCCCAAATACCAAGCACTCACACTTTGGGTTGCCGATGCCCACCCCCGGGTCCCGGCAACCAAGGACGGGCCCAAGTCCCCATCGGTCGAGCCACGGTCACCCAAGGATGAGACCGAGACCCTACCACCCGCGTGTAGGATCCTCGCGGCTAGGCCCCAAACCTCAGCGCCTGTGTCTTGGTCCACTGAGGACGTGCCTAGATCTCCCTAGGCCGAGCCTAGATTCCTTGAGGCTAGTGCCACAAGCTGGCAGTTCTTTGGCCGCAGAATAGCCCGTGAGGCACTTGGCGACTCCGATAAGACTCAGGTCAGCCTTCCTTCTATAGTTGTTCTGAAGAACAGTACAGTGAATCACATCTTCGTATTGGATCGTACCACGCTCAACTTAACTCGGGCATCCAGTCTCTCGAGCGAGACACACAAAACGCTTTGGGCACAACAACTTGTTTCGGCCTGTCATGGTCTCATCAGGAGAGCGACATCAACTTCCAACCAATTTGTACACGGGAGGCCAACCCCACCTTCAGAGCTCCTAAGGGTAAAATCGTTCTAATTTAGAACTCCTAACACAAACCACCATGACGCCATTCTGACGACCCAATTGTATCATCTTCTCTGCATCACTTACTCTTCACTATAATGATATCAAGCTTCACTTACAAGGGTACAGGAGTATAAGAAAATTACGGTCCGTGACACTAGGCTTGAGAGCCCGGCAGCCAAGCCCAGTTACCTTGCTCTTGCACTCAGGTCACCGATGCTTATGCTTGGTTCCCCTTAAGTGGGCCCAAGTCCACAACAAGCTGGGACCTCGGCATTGTTACCAGAGTCCCTTGAGGCGAGGCTCGAGATCCTAGCACCTGTGCTCGGGTCCCTCGCAATTGCTCAGGCCTAGGCCAAGACCTAACAATCGAGCTTGAGTCCCTAGTGCCTGAACCCGGGATATGGAGTTATACGGAGTTATACTTGAGACTTTTCCTCAAATGCATGTTTCGTAATTTTCCAGCAACATATGTCGGAAAACGACTTCCACATCATTTGTGAAATACATTCAGATGTTCGGAAGTAACTTGAAAATAATTTTTTTTGGAAAATATTTTCCAACGATGATACCATTGCCTTCCTTTAACTTTTTATGAATCGCATTCATCCTAACGAGATCATCCATCATATATTCATTCATCGTTTTTAATAAAAGTTGATACTAAGAACTTGACTTGAACTTGACTTGACTCGGTTTGCATGCTCAGCGCCGGGTACTCTGCTCCGTCTTAGGTACTCAAGTAGCCCATGCTTTGACTAAACAGGATAACTGAGTAGCTCAATCTCGAAGCCGATTCAAAATTTAGAGGGTCAACCTCGAATGGGGTGACGTCCTGCGTCTGGGTCGTCGAGGGATTCGTAGCTCGGGATTCGGAAGTTCATTTGAATCCCACCACCGGTATATAAACTGTCATGAATTATCCAAAATAATAAGGGTTAATTCCAAAAAACATCAATTTTGCGCTACGACAATTTCTACTAACTTTTTTTTGCTCCATAAAAAGATCAACTTTAGGTCGAGGACAATTATGGCCCGAACTTTTTTTGTCCCGTAAAAAACACCAATTTTAGGTCGATGGACAATTCCGCCCGAACTTTTTTATCTTGTAAAAAGCACCAACTTTCACTTAAATCCCAAATCTGACCCTTATTGACTTAAAACCATTGATTTTCCAACTTGACTATTCCACCTGAAGAATAAATCCACGTGATTGACCTGATTTAAAGATTATTCATTGTCTTATTCTCTAAACCACAGCTAAGAATAACCAGAAACCTGTTCGTCTCCTTCACTTCACCAAGTCAAAAATATCTCCGTATTGAATCTTTCCGCCAAACTTCGTCGTTTGTCGTAATCAAACAATAGACCACCGCCCGTCGACAGACGCCATGAAGAGATTCGCTGCGCCACCACCATAATTTTTTTCTCAAACAAGGGTATCTTCGTACGTAAAATTAATGGGCCAAATTTGTGATTTAAATGAAAGTTTGTGCTTTTTTACGAGATAAAAAAAAATTCGGATCAGAATTGTCTTTCGACCTAAAATTGATGCTTTTTTATTTAATTAACCCGAAATAATAAAGTTTTCTGGACGTGTTACGTTACTTTCGAGTAATCGAGTCTTCTCGCTCGTGCCCCGGAAAGTAATTGCGTGGGACGATATATCGGCGCCGCCAACCGAGATGGCGTTCTTGTCCTGCGTGGCGTGTGGGTGTGATACAGCTCACCACCAGCTGAGCTGAGGGTTGATGGGGCTGCTCTTCCTTTTCTATCTGCCTTTAACCACCGCTTTTTTGAGTCTTCTCTTTCCCGCTAGGGAAACAATGCGAGAAATCAACGACGGTCCATCCCAGAATTTGCGGAGCAATAATGCAGAGAGAACATATTGTACGTTTTTATTGACTATTGAGTGTGTTTGGACAGTTTCTCCTCAAAATGATTTTCTCGTTACTACAAATTAGACCGTAGCCATAACTTACTCTTTTATCGGGCCTTCGAATTTTGGACCGGTTCGACATCCATCCATGCATAATTCGATTCGTGTGAAAACAAAGGAAATCGATGTACAATCTCCAACTAGCCGAGCAAACCAATTTCGTGGTGGCTCGATCGCTTAGGAAGACGGAAGCTCGCGCTGCAACGTACGGACGCCATCCTCGTGAACTCGGCGAGGTGCTCGCTAAGTCTCCGTAATGTCTATCGGGCCGAGCCTCACATCGGGTCATATGAAATACCGGGAAAACGGGACTTTGAATAATCAGGACTTAGATTTACACGTGATGTATGTGCAATCGGCACAAGCCTTCTTTGTAACTATTTAGACTTTCACTGAACTGATCGTTCCTTTGACGAATGTTTCAGCACGAGGAATGACATTTGTTTGTTTCTTATTATGTAATGATGCAGTTGGGTATTCAACGAGTTACAAACATCGGACATCGGGCATTGATTTGCCTATGATACACGGCGTGCATAGATAGAACAGGACAAAAAAATACGAATTACAAAGAAAACATCCGAATATAACGTTGTACGACATGGCACGCCTAATTTATGCATCGACGTGAATTGATGCGGTATCAACGCAATTCCAAGCGCTTGACATACGAAAGCAAAATTGAGATATTTTAGATGACGCGAAACACAAATTCGATGATGACAAGTTGGCGCAAATTGCCAATTCTATTCCTGAGTCTAAGAATGTTTCATAAGGAGCAAATTTCATGTGAAGCGTTAACCAACTTGGTGACCCTTTCGAAATTAAGCACCAAGGCAAGAGCCGCAAACCACTACTAGGAATGAGCAACCGGCCCGATTCAACCCAAAAACCGAATCGACTTGGCCTTATCTGGCCCGTTCCAAGCCGTTCGATTTTCGAGATAGAAAAGAACATGGGAACTGCCTTGAACAGTTCGGTTCTCGGTTTTTAGCCTTGAACCGTCTTCAAGGCCAGTTATTGGGTTAAACTAGTTTTGAACCGGCTCAAAACCAAATCCTACAAAATCTCTTGGATCAAGTCCAACATAAGCAGGCCATTATGATGTTTCAATTTGAGAACTTCTGCCATATAATAAAGTAATTAAACAAAAAAAAAGATCGGTCAGTTCAGTTCGAGGATCTATCAGTTTAGGGCTGTTTGCAATCACAAATAAGATATTGATTCTGTTCTTTTGTTAGAACCGGTTAAAGTAAATCCGTTTGTTAAAATTTTTTGCCCGGCACAATATTGCCAAAAATTGATCCCTTAATCAATTTTAGAATGTAATCGAGAATAAAAAAAAAGTAGATTTTGACTCGGAACAAAAGAGAATCAAATTTTTTTTTCTTTTTCTTGATTTTTAATGTAGCTTCTAATATCCACAGGTCACCTCTCGCCGTATCTGCGAGATTAAAAAATTTTAATAAAAATGTTATTCATAAAAAAATATTTTACCGGACATGAAAAAAATTTATTTTTACAAATATGGCCAGCGACTAGGCCATAAAAAAATATATTATTAATAAAAAAATTTATCACCATGGCCAGCGACTGTGCCATCGCAAAAAAAAGGAAAAAATATTTTCAATAAAAATATTTTAATAAAAAAATGTTAATAAAAAATATTTTACTGGCTATATGGCGACTGAAGCCATGGCAAGAAAAATAAAAAAATATTTTCAATAAAAATATTATTAATAAACAAATATTTATAAAAAAATATTTTACCAAGTTATACTGGCGACTGCGCATGACAAAAAAATAAAAATATATTTTCAATAAAAATATTTTAATAAAAAAATATTTTACCGATCATGGCAAAAAAAAAAAAAAAAATATTATTAATAAAAAAAGTTACCGGCCATGGCAAAAAATAATAAAAAAATTATTAATAATAAAATTTTTTACCGGCCATGGCCAAAAAAAATAAAAAAATTATTTTTAATAAAAGTATTATTAATAAAAAAAAATTTAAAAAAAAAAAAAAAAAAAAAAAAAAAAAAAAAAAAAAAAAAAAAAAAAAAAAAAAAAAAAAAAAAAAAAAAAAAAAAAAAAAAAAAAAAAAACCCAAATTTTTTTTTTACCATTTCCCTAAATCCCGACCCCTCCATTTGTTTTTGTCGGAATGGAATGGGCCAAACAGGATAAGCACGTTATCTCGGAACCGATCACCTCTACCCGGTGCCTCGAACCCCTTTCCTCCCCGACCCCTCCATTTGTTTTTGTCGGAATGGAATGGGCCAAGGGCCTTTGTACCCTCTGTCTCTCTGTCAAAAGAAAATGCAATATCAGCGGAATGGCGACGAGCGCGAGGACCCCATATTTTCGCACCGTCTCCTGTTCTTCAATCTTCACCGTCGAATTCTCCCATCACGGGAAGACGGGTAGCTTCAATAATAAGTAGAGAACAAAAAAGAGAGAGAGGGGAACAGCAAGAAGTTGCAGGATAAAACAGAGAGAGAGAGAGAGAGAAGCAGAGGACGTCCAAGAGGCTGACGAAGAGGACAGGCAGAGGCAGAGGCAGAGGCAGAGGGGCAGAGATTGCAAGTTCTTGGAGCAACGCCGAGGGGGAAAGAGGATCTGGGTCGTGTTTGTTTTGACGGAATTCTCCCATCTTTTCCCCGAGAAAACTCGTTGAGCTTTTGGATGCGCTTGCTTCTCCTACTACGGCTTTCTCCTTGTAAGATGCCTCTCTTCTTCTCCCTTCTCCTTCTCACATCCGACCTCTCTGTCTCTCTCTCTCTGTCTCTCTCTCTCTCTCTCTCTCTCTCTCTAAGTCCTTAGTTCTCGGCTGCAGGCTAACTGGGCACTTCCTCGCTGTGGATTTCCTTCTTCATCTGGATCGTTTAAGGTACTCGGCCTCCGGATTCTAACTCGACGTTTGAGTTTCGACCCGCTTTCGCTCTTGGCATCTGAATTTTTTGCAAAGTAATTGGCCAATTGGTCTCTTCTTCTTCTTCTAGCTGTGATTTTCCCGACAGTTCCATCGTTCATTTCGAAATTGGCTTCTGGGTTTGCCTTGATAGTTGGGGCAAACTGCGAATTTGACGCGCGTCCGAGCTTAAACTGCTTAGCTTCATCGTCTCCCTCCTGGGTCTTTTGCTTCTAGTTTGCTCTTCTCTGAAAAGCTAATCTTTTTCCCTTTGTTTTGGCCTATCAAAGAAGGTGGTCTCCTTCGTTGGGTTGTGGAAATGGAGAAGGAAGATAAGGGTCAAAGGAGCGATCTTAAAGCATCGGAGCCTGATTTTCTCCTACAGTGGGGAAACAGGAAGCGGCTCAGATGCGTTAGAGGCAAAGAGTCTGGAGTCTCCCACAAATTCAGCGGCGGTATTCGCCGGAAAATTACGTCCCAGGTCGATCGCTGTTTCATGGCGGCTGCTGATAAGGAAAATTCGCATCTTCAAGCACATCGCTTCACCAGGTGAAGAGGAAATTGAGTTTTTTCTTCTGCGCTTCGTTACGGATTTTGCTGTTTCGAGAGATTGGTTTGGCATGTGGAGAAGAACTTGAGATAGGGTTTCAACACGAGTGGCTCAACTTTCACTTTGCTTTCCAGGAAATGCAAGATATCTTAAAATCTGATGCAGTCAATTAATCGTATAAATTTTTTAGGAAATTTACTTCTCTTTTCCTTCTGGCAGAAAGGTGAGGATTGTCGGCTGAGAAAATGAAATTGGTTAAAATCAAGAAAGTATGAGGACTGCAGTGCTCATAGTTGTTCTGTTGGGTTACAGGAATTCTGATGGGACAACGCATCGGTCTACCTTGAACGAAAACCCGAAGTTGGCGTCGCCGGAGAAGGAGGACCGGTACTATTCGACGAGAGGATCGGCTGGTGTGGATGATAATGGGAAGGTTCCGGTGGACGTGAATGGTAACATAGAAGATAGAGGGCTGGTTTGGCCTAAGCTGTATATTGCTCTTTCGAGCAAAGAGAAAGAAGAAGACTTTCTTGCCATGAAAGGGTGTAAGCCCCCCCAGAGGCCTAAAAAGAGGGCCAAGATCATCCAAAGAACATTACTTGTAAGAATCTTGCAAGAAGCCCTTATTGTTCCTGGAGTTGATATATTCAGCCTTATTCTGAAGTTTCCGTGCTAATTTTGTTCTGCATTTTGTGGGGTTTTGGCAGTTGGTCAGTCCGGGGGCGTGGTTGACTGAGATGTCGCAAGAAAGATATGAAGTGAGGGAGAAGAAGAATTTAAAGAAGGTAATATAGTTTTTTTTTGGTAAGGAAAAGAAGGTAATATAGTTTGTTATTGTTTAGATGCTTAATTCACCCCTTTCCTTCGTTTTCCTCGCTGATTGGTCTGTGTGCTTGTGATGCAGAGACCAAGGGGCTTGAAGGCCATGGGTAATGTGGAAAGTGACTCGGAGTGAGTCTGTTTTATGGATGATTTTTTTAATGATGACGGAATGGTTTGAGGATTTGTTATGGAGCGAAGTGGAAGAGTTCTTAGTGTATATGTTGTGCTTGTAAAGTAAGTCGTCTTCCATCTTAAGGCGACGAGAGTGGTCGATCGTCTCATCGCCCTGTAATTTTGACTCATTGTTCTTTGTCATTGGGATGATTCCACCATGGGGAAAAAAAGGACGATGCCGAGAGCCTCGTGCTTTTGCTCCGGTGGCTATTGAAATGTGTCTAAATTTTAATTTGTTCATCTTCTCGACACGTTCATGATGTGCAATGTATTTTGCTTTCTGAATGAACGGATGTGGAAGTCCGAGTTGTTGTATTAGTGCAAGCCGCAGCCTGGCCTTTGAAATTGTAAAAAGTTGGAAGTTGAATTGCATTTTTCTTTGCTGCAAGTTTCTTTGCTTTTACCAGGAAAGGAGATCCATTTGGTCCTTAGCCTGCGTCGTTTGTCAATGCTAAGCTAAGGTCTCGGTGTGTTGGCAGAAGTTCGGCAATTTACGTTTGAATTTGCTGCCTTCCTTCGGCTGAGTTGGCAACTTGTTTCGTAGATGTCTATTAAATTATCGAGTGTACTTAATAGATGTACAAAAGTGAATTCTAGTCGTCGAATCTGGTGGGGAGGTTCAATGGGACTCATCATTGAATGATTCAACTTTAGTTTATGGGACTCATCATTGAATGATTCAACTTTAGTTTACTGCATATGTCATTGTCATGTGATAATTCCACCATAATTTGAGATGTGAAAATCTGGGAAGTCGTGGCCGTCCGGCTGACTTCGAGGTTCTTTTAGCTTTTATGGAGGATTCTTGATTTTGCCTTTATTTTGAAGAAGCTGTTGTGATTTTCTCGGCGTTGGAAGTTGCTCTTGTATGACAGATGCCTCTGAGTTCATTTACTTGATGATGGGAATCATTCATCATGGTGTTCGTCATAGAGGAAGTGGTCGCTGGCGGCCGGGTTGGTGGAAGGCCATAACCCGGTGGCGAAGGAACCCAGAACTAGGGAGACCTGACTCATAGCCATTTTGAAAGGGTCAAAAGGAAAAGGGATCGAGATCACTAGGAAAGAGAACCAGCGCGCATCCAGTGTCAAAGAAACACAGAGAAGGAAAGGAGGAAGAAGGCGACTGGAGGATCAGCAACTTCGCCTTTTCGATCAGAAGCCAGACAGAATTAGAATGCTTCATAATGGGCAGAAAACTTGAAACCTAAAGATAGTCGTGTCACCAAATACAGTGGAGAAGGAACGCGAAGGTTCTCACACATCGTGAGAGCTTCTTGGCCAGGTAGGTTTTAGCATGTACCACGACAAGAAGATTTTACAGATGGTCTCCACCCAACATGACATGATGCAATCTATCAAAAACTCGAAGAAACTCCAACCAAAATGCTTGCTGAGGATCCTCAATGAACTTGGTCAGACCAGCGACTGCTACTGAGAGAGAGAGAGCTCCAACATGTACTATGTACAAGTTTGCAAAAGTTACGTCGTCTTCAGTAGTAACACACAAATTTAACTCGTCTGGTAGCTATTCTGCGCTAGAACAATTACTACAAAATTACAAAACTTTCGGACTGATTTCAAAGAGGGAAAAGGCACATACTCAGCCACTCTAAGCAGGAAGACACTTGCTGCAAACACGAATATGCTATGTTGGTATAACTTACAGCAGGAGTCATCCAGAGCAGGATTTTTGTAGATCTGATGCAGCTTCTCTCGCCATAATCCTCGGATGAATGAAAAGTAACGGTAATAAGGAAAGAACATATGGATCAAGGACCAGTCACACCGGGGAAAAGTTCCGATATTTTATTGAAAACGTCCATCACCTGTGGCACAAGGATATAATGAGGTCATTTCCAAGATGAGAACAATTTAGAAATTTGTCTAGGTTGACTTTTACTTTTACTTATCCTTCATTAAAATCTTGCGCTCAAGCATTTTGACTTTTATTAAATCTGAAAAACTTCAAAACTTTCACGAAATGCCAACGTTAACATGTATATTTACATGTTAGCTTTATTCCAACCAAAGAAAAAACATGTATATTTACATGTAAGATTTTTATAAATTTTTGAAATTTGAATAATAGTTTAAATTATGGCAAGAAAGCAAAAAAGAGATTTTTACTTAAGCTGAACCAAGCACACCCTAAAACTGTAAGTCTGTGTCCTGTGCATTTCGCGGTATGCAATTATCAAAAAGCCGGCACTTAAGTCAAACACCATCAGTGTAAAACACCCTAAAACACCATTCACGCAGTTGCCATTTTCTTGAGTAACACCATCAGTGTAAATAGGTCAACTCGGTGAAAACGGAATACTGAACATAGAACAAGAGATTCACAGCAAAGATCGATGAAATGAAGAAATAATTGTTCCCGCTAATAATTCTTTTCTAAGTTCACCAATCACCATTCCAACAGTCAGAATCTTGATCCCATATACCGTTTATCAACTCTCTAAAATAGATTAATTTAACATAACTTGCCTAGGAGGTTAGAAGGCATTACCTCCTTGTCGTTTTGATATTTGGCAATGCTTAGAGGGTTTTGAGAACACTGCAAAAGGGGACACCATATTTCATTAAACCAATGATCGATGCAAGATTTAATCACTGATTTTAAGCTTAGCAAACTGATAACTGGTACATACATCCATGATTGCCTGCTGCACTCTGGGGTTTTGAAAAGCCACTGCAACTTCAGGATTGGCCATTATCTTCGAAATGACTTCTTCAGGTGTAAGGCCAATTTGATCTGCAAATCAACAAAATTAATCCATATGAAGAATTAATTGAAGACATCTCAAGAGAACTACAGCATTCTTGTAAAACTCTGCAATCCATAACAGCCACAGGGCCCCTTTTCATTCTTGCTGCTTTGATCCTTGAACCAGCAGTGTGGTTTGGACTTTGAAACATCTAACTATCATATGGCCAAGAAATGTTGGAAAAGGAAAACAAAAATAGATACATCAAAAGTGCAGGTTTTGCAAATTCACCTTTCCTTTGATGTTCTACAGAAATCTATGAACACAGTTGCCTCCCATCCCCCCCCACAAACAAAAAAAACAAAAGAAAAAGTATCCATCAAATTAATGGAAGACTTGGCCAATGCAGTCAATCAGAAGTGAACACCATTGTATGAATTACAATGCTATAGATGAGTGTTGATCATCAAGGAGTCTAATTGTCAGGTTCATGCTCCAAGCTTTCAATTGTCGTAGATAATGTTGAAAAGTTTTCACATGAAAAATGAGATTGCCAGAATTAAGTGAGAAAGCAAAGCAGGCATCAGCAAAGTCAACAAGAGCTCCACCAGTTTTTAAAGCGATTCAGTTTTGCTGTTTTGCTCAGGTAGCAGTAATTAAATGCTAACAGAATATGAATAGAAAAAGACGAAGCATCCGAAATTACCAAATCAGCAATATAATGATAACTACGCTCCTGCAAATAGAAACTCTAATGAACCTTTTAGCAGATATAGACTTGCTATTCAATATTCATCATGGGAAAACGCACTTAAGGGACATCTCTTTTAATGAATATTGTCGCAACACATATTGAGGAAATGAAACTTAGGGAAGGAATTCGTAGTCAGCTCCATACTTACCAAATTGCTGCTTGACCTCAGGACTACTAAGATCGAAGTTTTTCAAAGAATCCATCATTCTGCCGTCCCACTCACTGCTTCCACCCATATTATTTCTGGAAAAAATGCATATGCATATGTATACGTCATCGTGAAATCTCTTAATCATTATAGGACAAAAGCTAAGCTCATTGAGCTATGTTTGGCTGCTTGTACAAATTATAAGCAGATTACTGTTTCAAAAGCCTAAAAATGAAATGATATGGACAAAAAGTAGCTTGGTTCTGATTAAGAAAGCACGCAAAATTGCTAGAAGCTCATACAGTACTATAGTGGTCATTCAGAGGAAGTGACTCGTTGACAAAGTAACTGCAGCAATTCTTAACCAAATGGAAGGATTAATGCAATTGCATGATGCCAGTAAACATATCTACCTGAGCCAGTGAAACATAAAAACAAAGTACTTCTTATACTACCATCAGCAAAGAAAATAGTAGTCTACAGAAATAGAAAAACTCTAAGAATATCTTATAATGGAGTTCCTAACAAGTCAAATAAGTTCTGTTTCGAATTTGAGAATTATACTTAAGTTCTCTACCAGCAATATAAGGCATTTATTAATAACAGCCATCTGAACATTCACAGGAAGTACAGCATTACAGAGTCAAATGAACCACCAAGTTACACAAACTGCAGCATGGATTGCAAATAAACAAAACTATTTCGCCAATGTCATTTAATCATCCTTCCCTCAAAGTGAACAATGACCTGGCTAAAACAATATGGATGAAGAGTTAAAGGGAGAAACTTACAGCATTTCTTCCAACTGTTGACGATATTGTGGATTCTGCAGCATCCCTGACATGCAAAATGCAAACATTAGTTAGCTTGCTACATAACCAAAGTTCACCCTTAATTTCCTTATTCTGCATATCAATAAATAAGCAACAAAGGAGCATAAAAACATCGCTCCCAGTGGAATCATATGCCCAAGTTCATAGATTAATGATCAATGTGAAAGATCCTGAGAAACTGGTGCTAAGTATAGCTGCCATACTTTTTGGAGTCTCTACTAAAGCTATGTAAGACAAGAGTCGTCAAATATGTCATACAAAGATGTACTCACATTTGAAGGTTTCAGGGTTCCTCATCTCCTCAGGTAGATACCTAAAATAGATTAGAAAAATCAGAAATTTCATGATGGCAAGGACATCAACCAACTTAATAGCTTGGAATTCAGCCAGAGTCTCATAGAGAACTCCATCTCTTTTATTTCCAAAAAGACAGGAAATCATACAATGGACAAACACAATTGGTGATGAATAGAGATTCGAAAAGCTTAGATAGCATTGAAGGGTAATATATCTTGTAACTCAAGGATTGTGCAACTTCAATATCCGTATTGTTCAAAAGCATTTGATATCCTCAAGTAATCCAAAATCAATGAAATCCAACATAAATAAATATATCATAGAGAGACGGATAGTTCACCAAGCATAGCACTTACACTCATATATAGCAGTATGCATATGCAACGAAATGACAGTCAAAAAAGTATGACATGAACAAACCAACAAGGGAAGCTATATTACGGGAAAACCATCTTCTGCACAGTTGGATCTTCCATCATCTTCTCCAATGCATCCACAGACAAAACGGAGCTTCCTTTTCCTGCGCAGTAGACAATAATTCCAGATTAGCATGTATAGGAATTGTGCAGATGGGATAGACGATCAATCAAAGATTTCTGAGGGATGATTTGTAGTCAAGGTCAATTTCAAAGAAGCAACTGCTATACATGCTTGCGAGGAAATTTAGATGATGAAATTTACGGTCCCATTTACAGTTAATTGTTTCAATTTGACAATTATGTATCCAAGATTAGATGATATCCACTGGTAATTTTAATTTTTTAATCTATTTGGTAAACATCTTCACGATCCTCAGGAAGAGTTGATGAGCATCAAAATCTTTGTCAAGATATCCGATATGATCTGAGGTGAAATGGAAGTCTTGGTTATGATAAACTCATAAGCAGCATAAGTACCTACAAATTTTCAGATCATGGTTTTTCAAAGCCTCTTCTTTTCCTACTCAGCAGTGTCCTTCAACCCAAGAACATGTAATTTGTGTAACTGGAATGAAAATCCACCAATTATATTTCTCTTTGCAGCAGCTTATGATATTTCCTGCAGCTCATCTTATGATATTTCTCTTTATCCTCACATTACTGTCCCTACCACTTCCTATATCATCTTGTGCACCTTCCTGGATTCCCCACACGGATCATGGAAACGCTGATACAATAACGAGCCAAAGCACCTTAACATACGGACTAAATTCCGAAGTGCATAAGCACTAGGTTTCAACCGCAGGATCAGTTGATGTGTGTAAATGAAGTGAGGGAAAAGCAATATCAACATCTAAAAGAGATAAAACGAATGCAAAGTCTACCCATGTTCGATACATTCACGTACCAGTTGATTTGGATGAATCCGAAGAACTATCCACCGAGTTAGAAGCAGATCCGTTTTGAGAGACCTTCATCAATGCAGAGATAATTCATAAGACTACAGTAAGAAAATAAAATTTTCCTCTCCATCCAGAGAAAGACTTACATTGCTGACAAACTGAGTAGCTTCAGATGAAGTTGTTTCTGTCACATCCTTGAAGCTTTCAAAAGGACTCTTTTGCTTTGTTTCTTCTGGAGAAATATCCACAAAAGCTGCAAGTGCAAGTTCCAGCATGATTTATCATACAGTACTTTCAAACACTGTCCAAGTAATCACAAGTTACATTGTCATTATTATTAGCAGACAGAATTTCATTGGTCTAATTCAGGACCTTCCATAAGGTTTTGACTCTATCTATATAGAAACCAATTCCAAAAGCTTGATAACTGCAAAAAGAAGGAGAAACACTACTACAATGTGAAGCGAGTAGACAGCACTGTATAAAAGAAGTTGCTTTTAATGTATGTTCTAAACAATTCAGGTATATGTACACAAATTATTATGCTTCAAAATGCAAGCAACGCGCTTCTCCTACTGCACAATTTGTTCATAAATGGACACAATGGTTCACTCCGTGCGTCAATTTCCCAATAGAACCACCATCGCTAAGCAGATAAATCAACTTTAAGACAAGCTCAGAAAGGAATTGGAGATACTGCAATTCTGGTTAAGAGTGAGTGACTAAAGGGCTTCCAAAAGAAATCTTCATTACCATATCTCTTTGGTTCTTCCTCCTTCCTAATCTCATCTTTGACGTCTGCAACCGGTGCTGTTTCGGCTTTCACAGCTTCTACTTTTGTTGCAGATATATCAACTGTAGATGGCTGAGAAGTAGCCATTGGAGAGGGAGTGGGTCGCGGTGCTGAACCCATCGTAAATGGAGAAGGCGAGGCAGAAGAAAAGGGAGAACTGGCAAACTGGTTGTTTTGAGAATTCATCTGACCCATCATAGCCTTAAAAGCTTGTTGCATAGCATATTTCTGGATAAGTGTAAAAAGGCAATCATTGAACAGATTCATGAAAAGATAAAATGGAAGTGCAGACAAATGTTACCAAAAAGATTAAAACGAGCTGCAAGGATGAATTCGCCCCCTTTTTCTGATGAATTTACTATGTTGAATATTACCAATCTCTAAAAGGTTTGAAACTGTATTGGCCGTTACACAAAATGATATCCAAGAGTGATACAATAGACACTCAGGCATGAGAAGTTCCACAATGCACGGCATCTAGGTATATGATATGTCGACTCTCAACCCTTAAAATTTCTCCCCTTTCTAGACCTTTATGGTATCAATGAGCCATGAGAGACATTTTACAAGAGTTTGTGCAATCTAAACTGTTCCTTTAACATCACAGTTCTTAATGAAACAAAGGATTGACCGAGTGGTTACTCCCTCAAATAAATACAATGTCACTAATATTGCCTCTTCTTGCCAATTGCTAATTCAAAGGCCAACTCACATCCTTCGCATATTTACAGCAGGCAGACCAAAGAAACCTCATCTATCTAGAGTCATCTTAAAAGATCATCTATTCATAACCATCGCTCAAGAAACTCAAAGCCGCGTTCCTCCGTGAAACTTCAATAAACATATTTTTAGATTCTAATTTCATTTACAAATGCTTAAAGCATTTCACACGTGGGCCAACTGAAAACTTTGTATTTTGTTTGTGACAAAAGCATAAGAATACTGTCCACTACCCTAATTTTTCCTCTGTGTAAGAAAAACCCACAAGAAACGAAGCAACTTGTCAATGTCACTACGGCTTTAATATTACCTGTTCCGACAACAGGATCGTAAGACATCAACTCTTGTAAGTATTGTCTTAGTCGGAAAAGAGAGAATGACGTTTTGCTTCAAACCCTAGACAAAAAGAGAGGAAAAGAAAAGACATGCTATACAAAAACAAACTTCAGCCATTGAGACAACATAAAATGGTTGTCTAAGAACTTTCTTTAACCAAATTTGAGAAAAGAAACATTGGGCTTTTGGCAATTGACCACCTAAAAATGGGCCTTACAATGATCAAATTTCCAGATAACATGCACTTAAATTAGACACGGATATATAAAGGTCCAATAACTGACCTAGGAAGAAAAAGTATCCTCTATATCTGTCTATTGCTCTTACCTCCATACAATGCTAATCACCCAAAAGAGTTGCACATTTTGGCGAGACATTCTTCTATGGATAAAAGCACACTCTGGGTGAAACCATATTTGTACAACTAACGGTTCAATAGATTTACCCAGCAAAGCAAATAACACTCAAATACTTGTTTTGAATCCCCAATCACAAAGGTTGATGGAAAATTAGACTTCTGAACACTCAATCAAGAAGGCCTACTTTCACTTCAGTGTAAAAAAACAGCAGAAAACTTGATCTACAGATGAATGCAAAGGCAAACTCGGGGGGAAAAATCGTACCTTTAGGTAATTTGCCACCTGCCATTCAATTAAACTCGTTAATACGAAATCTAACCCATTTGCACGTCATAATTCAGGAAACAAGGACCTAGCAGAGTCCTACAGACTCACCCATGAAAATAGTGCCGAGAGTCCAACACCAACCCCAATCCAAAACAGAGGTGATCCGCTAGACAATCGACAAAATGCAGAAAGTAAGAAAACTACGTAGTCTTAGAGTGATGTGCCAAGATAGACAAAGAATATAAACACCAATGACCCCGAATACCGATGAAGACACAACCATGAGTAAAAAAACAGCAAGAAATTAAAGTGGCGGGAAAGGATAAGATGATTTACAAAGAAGATGGAGGAGGAGGCACCGGCGGCTGCGGAGCAACACCAACCGAAGTAGTTCCCTTACTTCTCGAGGAAGAAATGCTCGCGAAACATTCGGATTCCGCCGCTCGAGGCACTGCGCATCGTAAAGCGTTCGTTAATCTCACATCAAGACAAGACACGAAAGTCGACAATTATCCAATCTCGTGCAGAAAGTAATAGCTATCAACAGCTACTCGCCACCAAAAAAAAAAGAAGAAAACAAAACAAAACAAACTGAAAGAATCAGGCGACAGAATCAAGAGACATAAACAGCAACAGAATCACGGCTTTCGCCGACGCCTAAAGTCAGAGCAATTGGCGTACAGCCTACAGAACGGGCATGTATTAACATCCGACGCGCATCGTCTCGAGCTTCAAAATTCCACCGGAATCGATAGCCGTCCCAATTGTTCACGCACGCACGCACGCACGCACACGAGGAGTTACATACCAGCTCGATAGCGACGGAGATGCGCCGACTCATCCGGCCTCCTCCGACACAAGAAAGTCCGCGAGAAGAGGTGCTTCTTCCCGGGGACGACGGAGCCCCGGCCGCCGCTCCCGGCGCGGCTCGATTGTGAAGAGCTGGGGAGGGTGTAGAGGTGAGGCGAGACCCGCAAATTGGCCGCCATGGCTGCGAAGGGGCTCATGCCTCGGTCTGACAGCAGCAGCGGAGGAGGAGGCGGAGGAGGACGGAGGGAGAAATGAGCGCCTGGAGAGCCGAGGTTTGTGACGAGGTTTTTGCTCCCAAATCGTGCTCGCTTTCGTATTTTCTTTTCTTCGGATGGAATGGAACTTCGGGAGTGATGTCGAGTCGGGTTGTCGTTTGTAACCGGATTTGGGCCTCTTTCGTTGATGGGCCAGCTCCTTTTGGCCCATTTTCTTAAAAGGCCTCCCCCTCTCTCTCTCCACAAAACTTCTAAAACCGCGAGTTCTTCTTCGCCTTATCTAAGTTAAAACTAAGATAACGGTCCAATTTTTTGATATCGGAAATTCGAGCCCTCACTCTCTTCTCTTTCATCCCGAAATTTAAAAAAAAAATGGAAAAATAACACAAATTTTTCCTGAATTTTGGCCCAATATGCAATGTGGCCCTTGAATTTTTAATTTGTTCAATGTGATCCTTAAACTATAGCCCAATGTGCAATGTGGTACATGAGTTTTTAATTTGTTCAACGTAGTCCCTGAATTTTTTTGTACATGTTTAACTTAGTCCCTGAATTATATGAAAATGTTCGATAAATATTTGGCCAAAGTTCAGAAATCATTTGTATCATTTTCCAAAAAAAAAGGAAGGAAAAAGGGACGTGTCCCTAGACTAGAAGTGGCAAGGAAAAAAAGGGAAAAAAATTTCTGTTGGACTTGTGGCGAGTGAAACATCGGGTTCCTTAGAGAAGGAAATGCGGGTTTGATTCCATCCCTTTCCATTCGATGGTAAGCTCACGAGAAGGCGGCCACCTTGCATCGCTTATGGTTTCTCTAGATCACCATTGTAGTGAATATGGGGTCAAAGGTAATTAATCTGTATCGAAGCTTTGAGTACTCTGCATACGAAGACGAACTGCATTCCTTTACTTAATAAAGTAATTAATGTGTTTGAATGGGCCAGCAACACCGCACCATTTGATATTTGTGGCGTGCATTGAACCCATCCTCACTGTTCTTAATCATAAAAATCCGATTTTTAAGATCAGAAAATGCGAGAGAGAGAGAGAGAGAGAGGAGCTTTCTTCCTCTAAACGCTAATCCAACCTCCCTTCCCGACAAGATGAACGTCTACTCAGATCTACAACAAGGGACAAACCTTTTAACAAATCATTCGAAAAAGCGGACAATCGCAAACAGTATCCAATCAGAAGGCGTGACATGACATTTCCTCCAACATCGAATCAAAACTTTCATTTTACAACTTCAAAATTCAATCGGAGTGGGGATCGGAGTCGGAGGAGGAAGGATCGAGGGAGGGGAAGCAGAGGCAAGCCCAGAGGGAGAGGCCGAACCGCTGCAGGTTCTCGCAGGGGAAGCAGAAGAGGAGGTACAGCACCTCCTCGCTGCTGAACCGCTCCGGGTTGCACGCTATCCACTGGCACGCGCTCGCCGATGCCTTCGCCACCGACTCCACCAGCGAGCTGTTCAACGCCATCTCTGCTCTCTCTCTCTCTCTCTCTGCGCGCTTGTTGATGATGCTGGCTTTTTTTTCTTTCCTTTTGCCTTTTTGATGTGAATGGGTGAGGAAGAAGAGACCAAAATGAGGAAAATTTTGGCTTCACACGGTTTCAACGTTGCTTTTTAGTCGTGGCGACCCCCCAACTACGTCGTTTCTTATTAGCGTTAGTCTATTTTGGCCGGCGATGCCTTCGATAAAGCCATTAATTAACTTTCCCCAACTTTATTACTTCCCTTCCGAATTCCATTCTCGTGGCTCATTAATTTACTGAAAACATCAAGCATTATCATTTAATTATCTTTGATAAATTGATTGCCTACAACACGAGAAAGTCAGGCGCTGAAAAAATTATTAAAATTTTTAAATCTGCAAATGTAAAAGAACAATAGATTCACTAGCAATGCCATTACTCATGATAGTTATCAAGACGAGCAATCCAATTGCATTAAGCCTGCTCGCATTTGATGCGATTCGCGGTGTTATCTCGTGATTTTCTGAGCGATTTGAAGTTGCTACAACAGTGGCCCAACAATATTTGAGATCACCCAAATGTTTTCTACATTTGAAATGAATAACCATCCACGCTCGTCGCTACTTTGCCTTCGTTCATCAAACATGCTTGAGGGAGTTCAGTGAGTCACATCACACAGCAGTTTGACATCTTTGCAGAAGCTGTCCTCCAATGTAAGAAAAATCTAACTGGAGCACACCGAAGCCATAAGCTAGTCCTTGCAAAAAGTTTTATCATAAGATCCTTTCGATTAGAGAATTTCTATCGTCAAGCGGGATACATGTTTACACTTGTGTGGACACTTTTCGACTTTGAACATGGTCTATATCAGGATGAACAAGAGATTCATTTCCAACTTGTCATCATATCATTGAAAAAGGAAAAAACAAAACAGCAATATGCAGCCTTTATCATTTCTTGTATCCGAGAAGTGGTCATTGGCACCAAAAGTCATCCAAATACCCAGGATATGCCAATGCCAAATGGACCTTAAGGATCTATGCTTGAACTAAAACCCCACATTCGAGAGCAGGAATATCAGAAGAATATGGTAGTTACATTTCCTGAACATGAAGCGCTCGATCATTTGGTTTCCAGGAAACCTTTCTCGTCCAGATATGATACCACCTTACCGGCCATGGCACCTGGTGTAGGGCAAATGCCGTCCCTCTGACTTAATTCTATCTGTTAAAAAGAACAGTTCTAAGTAAACCTCATAAGAGATAATCTCGTTATAAATTGCATCTATGCATGAAAAAAGAAGTATGTCAGGTAGCCGGAGATTGACGTCCGTGCCCCTGGATAATTTAAAAGAGAACTACACGGCATGCCGATCTTCCATACCTCACATTTCAAAGGTGGTTCATATGGATCATCAATTCCTGTAAAACCTGCAATATCATTTTGTGAAGGATTGATTAATAAGATATGTGAAGAAGATTTGTGGACCATTTTAATTGTAACATATTAATGTCCAAATTGATTCACGAAACAGAACCCTAGAAGAGTAATTCACAGCTCATGAGTAGACACTGCAAATAATGCTCAATCAGTATATAGATTCATCTTGTAAGATGCGACGTACTACTATAACTGCAAAATCATGGAATTACTGGGAGCTTAAGTAGTTCCCTTGAGTTTCCTATCAAGTAAATTTAATGGTCTCATCTGCATGGGCTCGCGGTGGCATTTCAAGAAAATGTCCTTAATTGTTGCCACAGTCTAGAAAAAGTTCAAGGAGCAAACCTTTAATCTTTCCAGCACGTGCAAGCTTGTAGAGGCCTTTTGCATCTCTGGCCTCGCACAATGCAAGTGGCATGTTCATGAATACCTATAAACAGTCCATCTGTTGTTAGTCCACCTTCAATAGAGTTTAATCGAGTCATGAGATAACAATCTACGAGGAGCTTGCCTCGATAAAACTTCCATCAGGCAGCATTGCACGGCAAGCATCCCGGTCTCTTCTATATGGGGATATCAAACTGGCAATGCATACTAATCCAGCATCAGCAAAGAGCTTCGCCACTTCACCTTCATGAAGGAGAGGAGTTTAGGAATTAGCGCAGCAGGTCTAGACCGGACAAATACCACGTGAAAAGCCACTATGCCAAAAAGTGATAATTTCTAGTTGACACATTGCATAATTACTTACCAACCCTGCGTATATTCTCTGCTCGATCCTCAGCCTTAAATCCAAGATTCTTGTTTAATCCATGGCGAAGGTTGTCTCCATCAAGGACATAAGAAAGCTTTCCCCTGGAATGCAGTTCTCTATTGATTGAGCATGCCAATGTGCTTTTTCCTGAATTGTATGAGTTGAATAGGAGGAAAAAAAAAAAGCAAAAAACAAAACAAAACATGAAGAAATCAAGTCAAATCATGACAAGTAATTCTGTTAGCATCATATCGAAGAAGTCAACTTTAGCAGTCATATCCAACCAAAAAAAAAAAAGAAATTTAGCAGTCGTCAAATTCTGCTACTCACTCACTACCAGTTGTATTTGCCATATGCTACACTCAGTTGCCTCATAAATTCGGTTTAAATTTGCAAATGGACCCTTCATCTTCACTACATGAGAACGGTCCAAAGGTCATGGTAAGGTATGGCTTCCTTGAAGCTGTGGTCACAATTGGAAGACCAGGCACCAGTTGGGCCTTAATATCCAAGTAGCGTGTCAAGTTGCAGCTATTCTCCACAAGCAAACAAACTAATTGGACTAACAGTCATTCTACTCCTTTGTCAGCTGATGCAAGGAAGTCCTCAAATTGATCTTAGATGCACCAAAAGTTACATTTATAGACACTCGACAATTAAGTTGCAGGGATAACTTGGTAAGTCCTTTGGAAGTCAAGGATGTGCAATTAGAATTTAGAACCCACTATCAGTAAAGGTTCAGGCACTCCAAAAAAGGAAGGGTCATTCGGTTGTGTAACACTGCATCTCAAAGGCCCCCAAAAAAATCCAAAATAAGCCCATGTCACAGGGACGCCTCCACATTAGTCCAATGAGAAAAATAGATCCCTCGCCAATGCTTCCATTAAACTAAACCAACCATAACATGCGACAACACAGCCATAGTTAACACTGGTTGATATTTTTTATCTACATAAAGTCAGAAGGGTCTCCACAATCAGACTCCTTGAAAGGTCTACATGCAAAGGCGTGAAAAACATGAAACAAAAGATGTCAACACATTCAACAAATGCAGTAACAGCTCGTATATGTTTGTAAGCAGCAAATCATAAGCAAGTTAGTTACACACCTGATCCACTAAGACCCGTAATCCATACAACACATCCCTTTTGGTTAAGTAGCTTCTGCCTTTCATGCTTCCCCACAGGGCACTCATGCCAAAATATATTCGTAGAATTCCCCACAGTAGACATCAGCAAATATCCTTTCCTGTTTCCTAACCGCACAAAGGACATTTAGTTCATAAAGATATTGCTAGGTATGAAAGACGAGTAGCTCGCACTAAACAATGGAAAAGACAATCATGAAAAAAGGGAAGATCGCAGCAAAACTTAAGAGTTGACAGGTAAGTTTAGTATGTACTACTGTGAGGTCTAGTTTTCCAGGGCTTAATCCAAGATTTATGAAGTTGATAAGGCCTACTCCCAGTCTTACTCAGAAATGATGTGAGATAGTTTCAAAATCCGGCAACCAGCTCACAAAAATACAACTAGCCATCATTTGAAGCATCCCCTTGGAGAAAATTATGCAAGAACTTCCGCGCAATATGCATGAACCAAGGTGCGATATGACCAGTGTTCCACTTCCATTTGGTTACAGTGCGATGCATCCCTATGTAGCCATTACCGAACCACCCCGCTAACCACGCGGGCGTCGGGACTACCCAAATTCACAGAAGACATGGTTCGTTTTTTGTCATGATACAAGTTTTCATAAAACACAAGTTGGTGGACCAAAAATTTGCAACTGATTTTCAATCCAAAACGCGAGATCAAGCTCGATGTCAATCCCCGGTGCAGATTTTCCTTTTTCATGCGCTGGATGGTGGCGAGCTCACAACACTCTCAAGTATCCTTCTGATAGACCGTACCATCAAATTACTCCGCTTTCCTTTCTTATAGAACTTTGCATCATTTCACTTGCTAGAGGAACAACGCTGTGAACAGCAATAAGCAATAGCTACACCCGGAGTTTGATGCATTGCGGATAGTCCCCAATCCTTCAATCACTAAAAATTGCGAAACCCGCAGTCAATCGGAAAGCCAATTCACGAATCCTTCGTTAAAAACAACAGAGCAATGCCGAGCGAAGCGCGGGCCGGCAATAAAGAATCATAAACAACGCAAGGAGCAAGAACTTCTCACGAAGGAACAATACACGAACATCACACGCCTGCGAGCCTACGATCCATCTAAAGCAATCCGCGGAGGCGCCATTTTCCGATCTACGGAGAAACCTGACGCGCGCCACAGGCTCAAAAACCCAGCACACGAATACACAGACGAATGCAGGAACTCCGATCAGCAGCAAGAGGCCGACAACGAGGTACCTGAAATCGAACGGCGCCGGGGGGGGGAGGGGAGTCGTTGGCGACGGCGGTTCTCAGGGAGACGGAGAGAGGAGAGGAGCAGGAGATTAGGGCGAGCGAGAGGGGGAGGTCTCGGGAATGAACGGGAACGAGGAATGGAGGAGATTGAGGGTTGGGGGGGGAGCGGGCATTTATGGAGGTTTCGATGGAGATTGACGGAATGAACCTGGACGCGCGCAGCGTGATGTTGCAGAGCGCCATGATGACCCCGCCGCGGGAGGAGGGGATGGGCAGGGGGATGACGACCATGGGCTATGAGGAATCGCTTCCTCATTTTTCGCACTCGGCTTTTTTTTCGGGCTCTCGCTTTTCCCGGGTGCGCATTTATGCTTCCCACTCATTCCCCCGATATATATATATATATATATATATATATATATATATATATATACTGCTTTTTTTATTAGAATTAATTTGGACGAATTACAATGGTTTGCTAAATTAATATACAGAGCGATGCGATGGTGTTTTTGTCGGCGGTTGAATATGATCCCGCTCGTCTAGAATGCCATATTTGATATGTCGCCGCGTTGCTTGATATGCCCATTCAGTGATTTCGCTTTGTTTGAAACCCGTCATCAATTATCGCATTTTAGTAAGCCGTGATCTCTGATTTCGAGAGGAGAAAAGAAATTGAATTTTCGATTTCGATTGTTGGATAGACTAAGCTTCGATCGATATTTGGCTCCCGCGCCCATTATCTTGATCGTGGTTATACTATCTCTCTCTCTCTAAAACAATCTCGGATGGTAGGTAAGATGGCGATGATGTAGAAGATCTTAGCTATTCATTAGGTCTCTTCCGACGTGCCATCTATCTAAAGAAGGCACGTCAAACTCGCTGTGTATATGAGCATTTTTTTTTTGTTGGTTCATCCATATAACATAAAGCCGAGATTAAATTGCTGCGAAAAGTTGAGATAATTAAAAGAGAATTCGCGCGGTTATTCGATCGAATAAAATTCCATGCATATCCAATGTCGTTGCTTTGAAGAGTAACATCTTCTCGATATCTCATGACTTTAGTGAATTGCGAAGTGATCTCTCTTGCGTGCTAAATACTTGAGATGATTGAGCAAAAAGCATAAATAGAATGAAAGTTGAAACCGATCACGTTTTCCTATAATCCTAATTGTCCCTTGATCGATAGATTACAATATAAATATCACGTGCATCCTGAATGATTATACCGATCCTAAATACGTAAACAAACGAAACTATATAGGTCTTTATTTGATATTATGGATGACTTTACTATTAATTTCAATTGAATCGACTAATCGGCCATATTTTTCACACTCATGGGAGTTCATTTATGTTTATGCTTTACAAATATGATATTTTTTGAGCATTTCTAATTATATCAAGTGTTATTCCTATTTTGGCATTTTGAATTTCCGGAATTTTAGCCACGATTAGCAAAGGACCGGAGAAACTCTCGAGTTAAGAATCAGGAATAAAACCAACGGACCATGCTTGATTACAATTCCGAATTCGTTATCATATTTTTGGAGGGATTGTACTTTTTAATTGGTAAAATTTTTTAAAGAATTACGTTTTCCCTCGTACAGAGAAGAAGAGATTTCCCCAATGTCATATATAGTACGACATTCCTTAGTCAATACTTCACCCTTGGGCACGTGGAGCTATCATGAAATGCTCGACACAAAGCATAAGCACCAATCATAATGATACAATTAGCTGGCTACCGGCCTTGACAATTGGACCCCGAAGCATCGGTGAACTTTTATATCACTTCTTACTTTCCCAATTTGTCTCGTATATACTTATATTACGTTCATACTCTAATGCAATTAAGAGATAAGAAAAAAAAAGAAAATTGACCAAACATAAAGGATAAAATGGTAAAAGAAAAAAAATTAACTACCTGCTTCCTAAAGAGAACTACAGCTGCTAAGATTCCTTAATTGTTGCGACAACCAACCTCATCCTACTCTTCTATTTTATAGAAGATGAATAGATGTTTGTTTTTTTGGTTTGTGAAAGGATTAGGATTAATGAATTCTGACCCAAAAAAAAGAAGGGATTAATAAATATACATTTAGGCTACGTTTGGTAGCCAAAATAAAATTCGGGATATAATAATTTTGTGAAATGTACAAAAAAAAGTCCTGGATCTATTGCATTGGTGTTAATATAATTATAAACATTTTAATTCGGCCAATTTAGTTATAAACTTTTCGCGTTTGTGCCAATTGAGTCCATTTGGGCAATTTTGGCGTGAAATCTCTGACGACGCTGACTGTCCTACGTGGCAAAATCGGCACTAAAGTGAATAATTTTTAAATTTTTTTGGATTTTCTTTCTTTCTTTTTTTCTTCATTTTGTCTGGCGAGGGCCTTTGTGGCCTTGTCTACGTTCAGTAGGGCCACGAAGGCTCATGGGGTGGGCCTTCGTGCCCTCGCCTGCCATCGGCTAGAGCTATTGTGACCTTGCCCGTATCTAGCGAGTGTCGCCAATGACCCTTGTCGGCCAAAATGAAGGAAAAAAAAACAAAAAAATTAGAAATTAAAAAATAATTAAAATATAAAAAATTTATTCGTGTCAGCGTTGATCGTGCCATGTAGGATGCCCGACGTCCACGTCAGCGATTTTCGACAAAAATTGGCCCGATGAACTTAATTGACACAAATGCAAAGGGTTTAGTATTAGATTGATTTAATTGAAAGGTTTACAACTGAATAGGCACCAATGCTATAGGTTGCGAACTTTTTTGGTACTTTTCCCGATAATTTTTGTTCTCTCCCATGTTTGGTTGCTGTTCAATACAGGATAAGGCTCGATATAAGAAGAATATAACCAGGATAAATTTATCCTATATGGAGTGGGATAAAAGTTGATAGAATTTCCTATGTCGGCAGTCTAAAAGCTATTTTTCTTAAAAGACCTATCCTAATTATCTCGTTCTCCTCCATAGCTTGGTTCTCATTGAAATTTCAAGCTCACGTCGAAGTTTCACCAAAGCAAGAAGAGGATCCAAGCTCATTCTCCTCCGTAGCTCTATGGTTTATATCGAAACTTCACGAAAGTGACGAGTGAGTCAAAGCACTATATTTTTTAGAAATGCAAAGACAAACAGTCGTGCTTTTTCTCTCTTGCTTAATATGATATTCTTTAGCTGATCTATCTTGTCAATGTCGCTGTAACCCAATTACAATTTTCATCATAATCGATTCCGTGGCTTCGGAATGCTACAACAAGATCCTTTACAAATTAAGGTTTACATTGCTCGATAATCACGAATTGATTGGTTTCTTTAGCAATGAATTGCGAAGTATTCTTACACGGACAAGATAGGCTATGAAAACGTCCCGCTCTATCACTGCAATTCATCAAACATTGGATTGAACATAGCAAAATCAATGGATTTTATATCCTATCCTATCGAGTTATATCCAGATAATCAAACACAGACTTAATGTTTACTCGTAGTTACAATCTATATCACTATTTAAAAAATAATGTTAAATATTACTATTTTTAATCCAATTAAAGCTATTCATCTTATTATTAGCTTATCATGACTTCACACAAGAAATAAAAAAACCAATCACTTGGTCATAACTACTCAATTTTTCCGTGGTTAATATTAAGGTGAAGTTGTTCAAAATGATCTACCTATCTTTCCAACCACTCAAAGAATTAGTGGTTTGGGAGATGACTTTGGATTTAGTTAAGCAGTCACTTCCGCATTGTCTATTCACATTCAACAGCCCTTTCACTAATTGGACCCCACGCACCAAACCAAATCCACGACCCGGCAAGCAAACGGGTCGGGTTTTTGATCGGTTAGCCATTCGGGTGCGACGGCGAGCACCCCGAGCTTCCCTCGAGTCTCGCCGCCGGCAGCTCCTCCGCGCGAGCGGAGTGCAGAGAGCAGAGATCCATTCAATTCACGTGCGATTTTCTCGCAGATCAAAGAAAAAATCAGCAGCTCTTTCTTCTGCTGCAATCAGAAACTCAATTCGATTTCTTCTCCGGCGGAAAACAAAAAGGGAAAAGGAAAAGCGGAAAAGCAGGGGACGAATGTCAATTACAAGCGACGAAAGGAATCTCCTACTTCACATCGATCGTCACAGAGAGCCAGAGGTACACGCACAAATTACAATTTCCGATGAAGCTCCCCCGCAAGAAGGGGGGGCCGAGGGAGGAGAGGAAACCCTAGCTGCTGCTGCTGCTGCTCTTCACCTTATCCTGCTGATTCCTCATCTCCTTGATGTTCCTCCACAGGTACCTCCCGCTGGCCATGTCGACGAATATCCAGAACCCGTTCTCGATCACCTGAAAGGGACGGGAATTTCGATCCGATGAGACGCGAGTTCATTTCGAAAAGCGAAAGAAAGAAAGAAACAAAATTCATCATCAGCCGAGAGAGCTCCCAAAAAAAATCCCCCCCCCGGGCCCTTACCTTCCTGAGGCCGGAATCCCTGTCCTCCGCCCTCGACTTCGCATCGGCCGCGGGCTCCGGCGGCGAGGCCTCGTCCTCCGGCGAGGACCGGACGGTCCGCCACGCGAAGTAGCCGGCCATGACGGCGGAGAAGAACACTAGGATGAACCTCAGGGGACACATTACCGGAGCGAGCGAGGTCGTCGGCGTCGGCGGCGGTCGGGAGAAGAACGAGAGGGGGCGCGGGGTAGATCGGAGCTTCCTTTTTCGGGCTCTCCGCCTTAGAAAAACCTTCGGTCGAACGGGAGGGGAGAGAGAAGCGCGGGTGGGGGTGGTGTTGGGCGTGGAAAATGACGGAAATGGGGTCGGCGTTGGCGAAGAAGACGGCCGGTTTGGTTTCGGCTTATATAAGCCACGTTCCGAAACCAAGGAAAACGCGTAGTTGCGGATGGTGTAGAGCTCGATTTCGGAGCGCGCTAAGCGACTCGGTATAATGAAAGTTTTTGCGTCTTATTACAAAGTCAAAAGGTTAGCTTCACCTACTCTACTATTTCATAACTTAGTCAAGAATGCCCTACGTAAGAAAACTGGCTTTGCCCGTTCCCACCCATAGTTGTCTCCCACCCAAACATTTTGTTTTATTGATTTTTTTTATAATTTTTTTTACGAGATAAGAACGGGCGAGTAGAGCAACGTGGTGCGCGGCTATGTCTTCCGGACGTCACCGCGAGGGGTTGCGGTCCCACGATTGGAGACCAAAGGTCTAAGCCGCGGCTCCTTAAATCTTGGTTGGGCTAGAAAGAGGTTCGAGAGCGACGGGCTCGCCAATGCAGCCCTGCCTGTTGCCAATGTGTTGAGGATACGAATCTTCTCACATGATGAAAAATGTGTTCGAGAGATCAGGTCTCGCCGAAGGCTTGTCTCGCACTTGATCAGGAACTTGTGATCACGCAAAAGACAATTGACCCCCCCCCCCCCCTCCCATCACTAGACTACCGCGCTTGGCGGTTTTGTTCAATAATGTTTCGTGTGCCCCGGGGATTTTATTCGTGAATTACGTGATTAAAAATTATCACAAAACTGAATAACGAAAAAAGAAGAAGAATATGCAGCATAATCATCGATTGACATGATGTATCACAAGAGGGATAAGTAGATTAGAAATTAGTGACATGCTTTGTTTCGATACCATGTTGGGCGATCGCCATCATCCAAAGAAATAGTTAATAATGATTGGAGAACAGATAAATTCTAAGTGGAGTATTACTCAGTGCCATTTCGCTCTTAATCAATGACCATCGAGACATTTTTGCTCAAAGTGAGGATCTACCGGACTCGTGGAAGATAATGGAACATGGTGGGATGAGATAAGATTAGACTAGGCCAAACGCCCCAAGAAACGTATAAAATAAGAGGACGTGCTCAGCATATGACCCCAATTTTTTAAATGATTGAACAGCTAGGGCATCCTGGCACGTGCCCCCACAATCGTTGACTTTGAATATTCCACACCATGATCAAGAGAGGTTGACCTGGCCATTGGGCTAGGGTTCGAAGGCTTTTTCTTGGGCTATTTGGGCATCTCGAGGTTGCTTCTTGGGCTTGGATGGTGGGTCTACATCTCAATTGTTATTTTCAGCTCGAGTGTGTTCAAATTTAAGTTACCTCATTTACAAACTTTTGCTTGGGTTTAGCCTAACTTCCATCAATCGAAAAGTGGGCATTGTGTGTGTGTGTGTGTGTGTGTATATATATATATATATATATATATATATATATATATATATATATATATATATATATATATAGAGAGAGAGAGAGAGAGAGAGAGAGAGAGAGAGAGAGAGAGAGAGAGAGAGAGAGAGAGAGAGAGAGAGAGAGAGAGAGAGAGAGAGATCGGCTCCGTTTGGTTCGGCTTTGGGGGAATGTGTTTGGGGAAATGCAAAGTCCTTTGGGTTAAATGGGTTTTTCGAAATGTTAGTAATGTTTGGTAAAGTGTATTTTGAAAGCACATTGAGAAGCAACTTTGACTTAAATTCCGTTTGGTAAAAAGTACACTCTATAAAGGACTTTTGCTAGTCCTTTTTTTTAAGAAAAAGTTTCGAACTATCTGCTAGCGGGAATTCAACCATCGCATATGTAAAGCTTTCTCTTTGAATTGCCACAGCATGCAATTGCCTTCGGTCGGTCTTCAAGTCAACTAAGAAAGCACCCAACTCCCATTTTTATATTTTCCATCCAAAATGAAAGATTTTCTAGATGATAAAAGTTTATCAACAAATTCATGGTAATTATTTGGTGCCAATGTTTGTAGATGTTTAAAAGATTAAGGTCTTCAATATAAATAAAGAACCCGCCTAATTGCTCTTGCTCCTGCTTACTGAAATGCAGCTTACCTTTCTCCCTCTGGCTAACTTCCTACATCTCACATTGGCAACATCAAGCCTTTAGAATCTTGTAATAGACTTAGAAAAATCAATGGGCTTCACTCTCTCAACAGCCCAATATTTTGAAGCATAGACGCTAAGCATGTGAGGTCAATGGTCTCCACATACCATTAAAATTAATTGGCATTCCTCGTATCTCTTAGAGTCCGTTTGTTTTGCAGAAAACTCACATTTTGGAAAACATTTTTTTAGGAACAATGGCTTGTATCGCTTACAAAATTGAATGAACGAAAAATATTATCACCGTTCACGAAAATGTTTAGGTATAAATTATTGTCGATAATAAAAACATTTATTGTTGATTAATTATTCTAAACAATATAACCAATCATTTGTAGGAAAATGTTTTCTAAATCGTTTATTTTTCGTAAAACAAACTAACCTCTTAATTTATTTTCATTTTAGTTTGTGCATTAATACGATTATGCGGTAGAGATGGGCACTTTTTATATACATAGTTACTAAGTGTCGCTCTTGTGAGAGAAATCATATACGTCTTCTCTGCACGCATTCAAGTTCAACGAAAGATTTGAAGTTAGAAACGCATGCCAGGACTAAAGCATCCGACAATTCAATTCGCCTTCGAGAGATATAGTATGACCCTGTAACTATGCGTGGCTAGACAAGAAGCAATGAGCATATCGTTAAACACACCAAATGTTCAAAATCACAAGAATATTAGTATTAAACGTCACCTTCTCGACATGATATCTTGATTTTGCTAAGAAGATCTTTCTACAACAGTGTTGGTCATGTGAAGCTGAGCTAAACTAAAGTTTGATACGTGGGAACTTTTGTCAAATCCCCCTTTTGTGAGTGCCACTTTTAACTGAGCGTTTGGAGCACAAGTGAGCTCTAAATAAGAGGTGGGGAATCTAGGGTTGTCGTGCCTCTCAAATAGGTGGCAGCATCTCGTAGATTTTGAGATGGATTCCATCCAAGATTCGTAAATTTAGTGGCGTTCCCATGTTTGCTTCGCTCATTTCAATGCTCCATCATGCTGCCATTAGGGTTTGTCTTGTTCTTGTGTTCTCCTTTCAAAGATGTTTTTCGTGGGCACGTAATTGCTCCTATTCTCTTCGACCCTTTGATCGATTGCGTTAAGACTTTTGATTACACAAAGCCATGTTTAGTGCCATTGATCAGGCATAGGTAGTTCAATTTTTGAAATAACCAAGATTATCAACATTGTTACGGTGATCGAAATGATTCAGGTAGGTAATCAAGAATTTATGTAACTAAGAGTTACTTTTTTCCATCTCTCAGGAGTGGGCGAGATGAAATTTCTTTATTACCGATTATGTTGAATGAGTTAAGGAATTTACGAATGACATCTTATGAAGTTTCATGGACAGCTATGATGGAAAAAAATCAGCATCAATCAATTAATAGGAAGATTATTTCATTTATGGATCAACTTTTAGAAAGATAAAAGGAAAAAAAAAAATGAAAAGGGGAGAGAAAAAATCATGTTATTGCGCAGAATCATTTTTTCCTTTGCTAGAAATCTCATGTCTACACATATTGCCATTGACCAGGGAAAGACAAGACACCCCATTAAATTGGAACTAAAATATCAAATCATTTCTTCTCTTTATCCTTTTCAAAATTAAAATCCATGTTACCCATATAAAACAAATGGTTGAAAAGTTTATACTCAGAATCTCCGTCTGATATCACGTGAGATTTTATGAATCAATGCCAATTGTTCTAAATGCTGAAACTGTTAGATGAATTGGCAAATATTCAAATGATTTGAATATCAAATTATGGTTTTGTTAAATTATCCTGCGAATCAATTTAGTAGTGCTACTCATATGCATGATTAACTTTGTAAAACAGCACTGCCCGGAAAGAAACGAGTTAAGGAACCTTCTGTGGATATAAAGACAAGGGCTTAGTGGGTGGCAATGTGGGTGGCCCCTTTTCTATCTTGTTCTTTCTGGGGGTCAATGTTCATATTACTTTACAACTATCCAACATGCACAAAGAATTGCGATATGGCTAAGGAAGGTTGGTGGAGTGGAATCCACACCTCTTTCGACACTCGACCATCTCCATTTGGAGAAGCACATCACGTCTGAATCCACTTTAAGTGATGTTATGGCATCACCAAATTAATTAAGCGTCGTGATTTTTTTCTTTGAGTAAGAAACGGGGTAATGAATTTCTTCTTCGCCCAAAAGATAACGCGATCACGAACGATATGTACTATTTCAATATGTTGTGTTGTGTAAGCAATTACACTCTTTTCCCGTGTAATTTGGCTTAAATCTTTTTTCCTAGAGTATAAAGGCTAAGGTCCTGAAGTTGTTTAGTGGCCAGGAGATTACAAAATGCATCATTGATGAGAGGATGATCTTCTTTATTGAAATAAAGTGGTGGTTTAATCGTGGGTCGTATAGACATCATACTAACCTTAAAATGGAGAAGGCAAAAAGCATGCACTTGATTATATGCTCCTTTTGTAATCAATCATTCTCTAGTCTCCCTCCAAAGCCAATCAAGTTAGGAGGGAATATCGAGCATTTAAAGTGGGCTAGCCAATTCGATCAAAAAAAAGTGGGCTAGCCAAAGCTTTAATAGGCAGCATGCACCTCTAGCTCTCCCCCAAAGGGTGCTATCAACAGCAAATATCTTCTTCTCTTTTTCTTATATATATTTTTTAATTCTGAGTTGTCACAAGAACTACCACAAGAAAGTGTGAGAACCGACAGGTTCGATTTCAGGAATGAAGCATTGCAATTGCTGGTTACCAATTCAAATGAACTAGTCCCAATCCTCGCAACGTTGGGGTTTGACTGTGTAGCTAGGTTTCTAGTTTGGCACGGCTCTATCTTTCACTCCTCTCACAGTCCCACCTAACTCTAATTTAGCTCAAACTAGACAACAACACGTGGCTCTTCCAAGGGTGGACAACTTATCTTATTGTAAAGTTTCCTGGATACGAAGAAATGGGATGGAGTGTGGTGTACGATGAAACATGAAACCGAATAGATCTAATCGATTCTCAAATGATTTGTCGAAACTAAGAGACATTGGGAATTGGAAAGAGCTTTTCCCTTAAAAGGAGATATGCTCATGTGCTTGATGGCTTATTCAATCCAAAGAATCTATTTGGGGTTTGAAAAAGAATTGCATAATTAGACATGAAGTTTGATTTGGTGATGGGTGAGAGATGACAATACACAGACTGCAATATAATTCCAGACCACAACGTAAATGGAGAAAGAAAGCATGAATAAGGCACCACATGATACATTAAATTCATTCACTGATGCAGACTAACATGTTAAAATAAAAATTGATGTTTCGATGCTAACATGAATGATCCAGTGGTATGACATGCTTACACCAATTGCTAGTTTTGTCTCGACCTAGCTAGCCCACTCGATAATCTCATTTTTGTAAAAGAAGTACGAGGAAAAAAAAAAGGTAAGGATAAACTCCATACTCTTTATGGTTTGAATAGAATGAACATTTGGATCCCGATGTGTAAATCAACGCACATTCTTTCTATCGAGGAGGCATTCTCTATCCCGAAAACCAGATCCAAAATATAAATTGAAGGATGAACCCGGATCGAGCTTCCGTTTCGCCTCATTTCATTCCACCGTATGCAATGCCTCGCGGTACATCGCCCGCGATTCACTTGGCTTAACAAGACCGAGATGAGTTGAGGTAAGACCATTAGAATTGGCACACCTCTATTGACAATTCGGAATACTCGAAAAAGCGATACTCGAATACAATTGCATGTTGCAACTCTCTCTTCTCTCTGTCTCTCTCCCCTCGTCCATCGCTACTTTAAAGAAGCATAAACAACTCTCAGTAGTCACGCAATAATGGAGGCACTCGGTACCGTTCCTTTTTGAATGCTGAATTGTCGTGACATAAGCTTTTGCCTTAACCCAAATACGTAATTGTTGCTAATGGCTCTTCCCTTTTGCAATCTTTTGGTCGATGACGCTTATTAGAAAAGAAGGGTCTGCAGTTCGAGCCAAGAAACTAAAGCAGCAGACAATCGACACATCGTCCTCACGATTTTCGAAACGACTTCTGTTTTTACGACCGAGGAGGACTGAACGAACGATGAAATCCCACGTTCAATGACCCATCATCAAGAAAGCTAGCCCCTTTTGTTTTGCCGAAAGGCTCCAAACAAAAGAGAGAGAACCTCGCAGATTTTAATGGCTTATATAAATGCAGCGTGGGTGTCGAGTGGGATTCATGTACCCACATGCACATTCGCTAATCCCAGGGCTTTGCTCCTCCAAGTCAGCATCTCTCTCTCTCTCAATGGAAGGTGACGAGGTAAGGCCCTTCCCCCCCACCCTTTTCTTTTCTTTTTTTTCTGGGGTCTTCTTTGCGTCGGGGTGAGGGTGAGTTTGGGTTTTTAGTGATGTCTGAGTCTGACACCGAGGGTATGGTCATCCAGCATGTTGTCGTGGAGGGGCATCATATTCTCCTGGGAAAAAAACTGTCTTCGGCATGTTCGGAGATGTTGATGGGTTTTACCTCAACTGTTTCACTTGGATTTATTCGTATATTATCCCGAGGACATTGGATTGAATTGGTGTGTGCAGTGATTCCTTTTTTGGGGGGGTTCGTGAGAATTTTTCCCACTCTCTCCACCTTTCCTGGGTTCTCTATAAGAATGCGATTCTGATTCTAACTTCCACAACTCGCACGCATGTTGCAGATTCTGTGTTGGGCTTGGGTTCATTCCATCCCTTAAAGCCAAGAGATCGTTTTTGATCGGCAAAGGGAAAAGATTTGGTCTTGCAGAAGCTCTCACTCTCTCTTCCAAGGGTATGCACCAGCAACTTCTCTATTTCCCACCCTCTTTCTAGTTTACAAGGACTCCTTTTGAGATCATTTTCTGGGAGGTTTTGTCATGAAAATGACCCAGCCATATAAAGAAAGACATGGTTTTGGTTCTTCTTGTTCTCTTATTGCTGTTCTGTAGCAGAGAGGGGCCAGGGCTTGGTGGGTTTTCTCTTTGGTTTTCAATTTCTGTTTGCGAATTATCGTTCCTGTAGAATTGTACATCTTCCTTTTGACAATTTAAGTTCCAACGAGAACAACAAGATGCTACCCACACACAAAAAAAGAAAAAAACAGAAGGCAAGAACAAGAACAACAAGAATGCTGTGGTCTTTGCCAGAGGAAAATACAGGAATTTTGGTCCCTGTTTATTGCTCTGAAACTGCAGTCAAAAGGGTCTTTGCCACGTGTCCAATGTAAGAAAGGGTCTTATTTTGCATGGTTGACACGATTTATTTTTTCTTTTCTTGATCCGAGGTGATCTCAATATATCTTGATTTCTCCTTTTGTTTGCTGATAAAGAAATTTTCTTCCTTGCAAATATTAAAAATGCCTCCTTTCCTTTTAAGTGAGTGCCGTTTTGCAGAGCCTTTTGGTCCTGTTTCTGTTCTTGGAGTCCTCAGGCAAAAAAAGTTACCCGAATGGTAACTTTGTTTTTGCTACGTCAGCTTCAGCTTTTCTACCGACGTCATCCTCTTTTTCCCTCCCGCTAATGATTAATTAAACACTTATCTGAATTAAAAGATCAAATAGATTATTTTATTACATCTGCATGGATAGTGGTTATACACAATCCTTTTATGTGGGGTTAGCCCAGAATGGACCCTCAAAATGTAAAAAACGTGCTTCAAGCAATTGTCTAGACATTTCTATGGGGACAGGGTTTCTTTTTGATCTTATACTTTGGCCAGACTCTCTCAGATAAGACCTCTTTGGACCCAATTGTGCAAAAAATGGTATCCCATTTGGACTGTTGAGCATGAGGAGACTTACAGAATGTCATGCCTCAGAAAATCTTCAAGCTCACCTTACATATTCATCTTTACTCTTCATACAGGGGCTCTTCTTTAACCCTGCCAATTTGAGTAAAATAATGTCAACTCTCTCAATTTAGTCAAATTATCATTCAATGGCTGCTTTTGAGTCTGGTGAAGGTTATATTTGGTCATGCCACATGAGAGAGAGAGAGAGAGAGAGAGAGAGAGAGAGAGAGAGAGAGAGAGAGAGAGAGAGAGAGAGAGAGAGAGAGAGAAGTTTCCTGAGCAGACCATGCTAAATTGTTTAATGAAATGGCACTTGAGATTCAAGCTCGAAAGCAATAAGTGAGCATAGGAATTAGAGACTGATGTTAGGGGGATGGGGGTGCAACCAGCATGGAGTCAGATGCTAAGGCATATTTTATAATATTCTGGGACAGAAAAGACAGACCTCGATATATGGATTAACATTGATCCTTTGCTTCGGTAATATGCAATTAAAGATATCCTAAGGAAACAAGATTGGATTTAGATCAGCTCATGGATCTCGCAGAGTGAAAGTATGGTGCAAAAAGTCAAGCATAGTTCTCCCTGATAATATAGAAAAAACAATCAGCATATGCTTAATAAACAAATCTCTTCTCTTCACTGGCGAACAAAGTGCTTTAAGTCTATGAGTTCGAATTCTGCACATGCCAAACTGCTCAAGCCGTGGATTCATTAAAAAGGTTAGGGTTTCTTAGAAGCTTATGCAATGTTCTGTATTTAGCTGGATTATTGAGATAAGAAGCGAGTGCTCCTGTTTGCATATTGTCCTTCAGCACATTGCACTCATATAAAAAGAGATTTGACTTTTGTTATTCACCTCTTTTCTGGCTAAGCTTATCGGAATTGATTCCCATTTTTCCTCCATAAACAACATTTCCAATCTCGCTGCATCTTCTCTATCATGCTTTGAGCAGAAAACATGAACGCGTTAGCAGCAACCAATAGGAACTTCAAGCTAGCAGCTCGGCTGTTGGGGTTGGACTCTAAGCTTGAGAGGAGCTTGCTTATTCCTTTTAGAGAAATCAAGGTAATTGGTTCTGTTTGAGACCCCTTTTTCATCTGCCATACGAATGAATACATCAAGACATGGGTCTGATTCTGGGTGCTTCCGTGCAGTAGACTTGCGATTTATTTACTCTTTCTTTTGAAGGAGAAGCATAGAATGACATGATGGATTATGCAGGTTGAGTGTACCATTCCCAAAGATGATGGAACACTGGCTTCATATGTCGGATTCAGGGTTCAGCATGACAATGCTAGGGGCCCGATGAAGGGGGGAATCAGATACCACCCAGAGGTTCTCTCTCTCTCTCTTTCTCATGTGTATACAATCCTTTGTCCGTTTGTGTCCGCATGTGTGAAATACCAATGGAAGGCAAAATCCATTTGCTTAACAGGACAGCTGTTCTGCTCACTTGCAACTCCTGCTCATTATTGAGTGTTGGTCTCAGGGTGCTATTAGACGAGTTCCATAATTTAAGTATGTGTGCATCTAGATCATCTTTTTTTATGGTTTTCTCCATCTATCAGATGTCTGTATGGATAGCTATCAAAATTTGAATGTCTAGCCATATTGGCCATAGTTAGGCACTGAGGTTATGTGTATATATTTAGGTTGACCCAGATGAGGTGAATGCTTTGGCTCAATTGATGACATGGAAGACAGCAGTAGCAAATATACCATATGGCGGAGCTAAGGGTGGCATAGGATGTGACCCCGCAGAATTGAGCATTTCCGAGCTGGAACGCCTTACCCGAGTTTTCACCCAGAAGATACACGACCTGGTTGGAGTCCACACTGATGTTCCAGCACCCGATATGGGAACAGGTCCTCAGGTTGAACAATCACAATGCATTATCATATATGAACTACTTTTTTCACCGTCTCCTCTTGAGAGTATCATTCATTCGGATCGACTCTTACATCAATTATTGGTTCCCATGTTTGAGAACAGACGATGGCATGGATTCTGGATGAGTACTCAAAATTTCATGGCTACTCGCCTGCGGTGGTGACTGGAAAACCAGTTGTAAGTTGATTTACTAAAGTCACATCTCTGTAGTCTTACCCTGAGTGAATTTGTGTTAATGCTGTGGCTGTGAACAAATGTCCAAATTGTCTCGGCATGCGTGTTCTCATTTCCATCAGTAGTAGATAGTTCAATTACTTTAAGTTTGCTACAATGTAAAATCACAGGTCTATCTTAAGTGTTAACAGGGAAGAAAAACTGCAAGTATAGTATTGACTGTTGAGCTGTCAGGATTCTATTGATCATGTTTGTTCTGATCATATATTGTGCATTATCCAATTTAGGATCTCGGTGGATCTCTGGGGAGAGACGCAGCTACTGGAAGAGGAGTCCTTTTTGCAACTGAGGCCCTGCTGAACGAATATGGAAAGAGCATCGCTGGTCAGCGGGTTGTTATACAGGTGCGAGTTATGTACTACAAAGCTGCTATCAAATGATAATTGTGCCAAGGCATTACAGCTATTTCTAGAAAATTTCTCTAGCCAATAGCACCCGAAATGAGTAAACTACTTGTATAATTTCTCTTGTTCTGAAAGTTTGAGACAGTTTTATGATGTAGTACTATGTTTTTCCATCAGGGTTTTGGAAATGTGGGTTCATGGGCTGCCCAACTCATCAGTGAGAGTGGTGGGAAAGTCGTTGCTGTAAGTGACATTACAGGAGCCATCAAGAACAGCAACGGGATCGACATTCCGGCCCTGCTCAAGCATGTTAAGGAAAAGAGGGGAGTCAAAGGTTTCCATGGTGGCGACGCGATAGATCCCAAGTCGATATTGGTTGAAGATTGCGACATTCTCATTCCCGCAGCCCTAGGTGGTGTCATAAACAGGTATTTATCAGTGCAAGAGACACCAAGTACGGCCTCTTCTAATTTCAAAATAATGAGCAATTTGCTGCATACTCTGCCTTGAACAAAGAACACCATTCAAATTATCCTGTTTAGAATACTCGAGTTCCATTATCTGAATCATAATCGTTGAGTTTCTGCCTAAAGAGTGCCCATTTGATCTGATTGAAGGGAAAATGCAAATGACATCAAGGCCAAGTTAATCATTGAAGCAGCTAACCATCCGACTGACCCTGAGGCCGATGAGGTTAGTCAATGGTCAGGAATCGGTTAGACTATGAGACACAATGTTGTCGACGTGATGAACAGCTTCTTTGGTACTGTTTTCCAGATCTTATCGAAGAAAGGGGTGGTCATCCTTCCCGACATATATGCAAATTCTGGCGGAGTTACCGTCAGTTACTTTGAGTGGGTTCAGGTATCGTTAGCCGGATCTTCATGTTTGCTGCGCCGCAAGATTAGTAGCTTACAAAGAGTCTCTTCGACTATATATTTTGTAAATTACAATAAGAATACAAACTATTTGTGCTTGGCCAAAGACATTAGAGCACTCTATACGGGGGTTTAACGAACCAAGGAGCAAACTAGCTCTGGTTAGAGCTGCTTTATATGTGATTCTTGATGAGTCTTTGGATTGCAGAACATACAAGGTTTCATGTGGGATGAGGAGAAGGTGAACAATGAGCTGAAGACCTACATGACCAAGGGCTTTAAGGCGGTGAAAGAGATGTGCAAGACCCACAACTGCGATCTCCGCATGGGCGCCTTCACTCTTGGGGTCAACCGCGTCGCTCAGGCCACGGTCCTTCGGGGCTGGGGGGCCTGAAAAACTCGTCGACCGCCTGGAATAAGTAAAAGAAAGGAGGCTTTGCTTCCCATTCATGCTCCTTTTAAATTGTTATCTTCTTGATATTTCATCTGTGCTTCTGTTTTGCTGTGATTTGTGTTTCTGGCTTCATCTGAGACTCTGAGTGAGAGTGAGGAGATCAAATTGGGTTGTACTTTGTTATGATCGCTAGAGTGGCAAAGTTCATTCCCACTCTAATAATGCTTGGATACAATGATGTAGTTCTTAGCAATTCCGTGACAGGTGAAGAAAATTCCATTCAGGTAACTGTTTTAACTGTCGATACGCGAAAATGAAAAAAATTAACGGTCGAAACCATTTGAATTTTTGCAGAAATTGTGAGTATAGAACAAGTAGCTATATTGTCCGTGCGTTTTCTTTTCCAAATCTAAATATTTGAAGGACAAATTAACAATCATCCACGGAAAAAAGCCAAGTAAGGTATAGAAGTTAATGTATCGTGTTTAAAATGGAGAGCAAATAATTTCCAAAAAGCACTTGCTTTATAACTTTCACGCCTTTTCTAATCAAGTCCTATTTGTTAATTTGTCTAATTATCTACGTTCTACTTTTATAAATTTTCTAATCCAGTTGAATTAAGCTATGATGTCGTCGGAAGACACGCAAGTATAAGTAGTTAGAACACGCGGATGCGCATGTGGATGTATATGGAAAAATTTAGCTAATGTGAACGACCATGTGGGACACGTCGTTCGACGGTTACTTTAGTACGATTTGGTAGGATTCAGTATTGGAGAGTTAGAAAGTTTGTGAAACTAGAAGGACTTGATCCAAAGTGTCGACTGGAGTCTCACGGCCTTCCCAATGCTGACTTTTGTTACATGGGATTTTTAAAATTGTTCCCAAACACCTACATTTTGGCCCAAGGGGCCTTGGGTGGGAAAGCCTTTCCCAAACGCAGCCTCAAATTTGAGACTTGTATCTTGACCCTGAGGATCACCAAATTACATAAGATCAAATTGCAAATTCCATTTCCTTCAGTAAAATAAACGTGCTGTGATCCTCACCTTATGTCAATGCACGCCCAAATTGGAGAAAAGAAAGAAAATATACTCTTACCATATTATTTCCTAATTGATAAGAGATCAATCATACTTATTAATATCTTACAATTCTTGATTGGTATCTCACCATTCGACTTGATTCAAGATCCAATCTATATGCATCTTGCGATTCCATGATATATTGAATCTAAAAGTGTATCTATCAATTTATCACTAAATCTACTAACTCTATACACACACACACACCCACATATATATATATATATATATATATATATATATATCAACTGTATTGATTAATAACTTGTTATGGTTACCTATCAAATAAAGTAGGCTCTATCCTAATCCATGGCATATATTTTAATATTATGGTTTCATAATGATACAAATCAATATTTGTATATTACATATCGATACTAAACGATATGACACATAAACCTTTTCACAATATTCGAGAAGGATAATGTGCCACAATATCGTATGTTATGCTAAATAGATACCCGAAAATAAGATATCTTTTTATCTGATCATAGGTTTTACTCGAATTTTGGTCATTTTGCATACTTCCCATTTTTATGTTAAGAAAAAAACTAATCGTTTATATTCTAGTGTATCTTACGGTTCGATTTGATTTTTCAATGTGACATCCATGGATTTGGTATTTCGATTTCCAATTATGGAATCACATAAATACTTGATTGTCAAGTACAGGGTCGAGCACGATGCATGTGTGTGTTTATATATATATATATAACATCCCAATTGGTGAATTATAATTAAAGAAGAAAAAAGCAAGATGGAGCACAAGGAGTATTTCGTTGAAGCGACGTACCACGACTTCTTTAACCCCGAGAATCCCCCCAAGACCGTGTTCATCAGAGATCCTCATGCACCTTCTTCTCATTCTTCTTCTTCTTCTTCCAAATCCAAACCCACGACCAAACCAAGCCCAAATCCAAACCCAAATCAAACACTGTCTCCATCTTCAATCCTGCGACCAATGCGATAGAGGAGATGAGAGCGGAAGAGTACCGTCGACGTTACCATAAGGATACTCCACCCAGTCATGGACAAGGCGGCGGCGGCGGCGGTGCTTCTGGCTCCGGTTCCGGTCGGCACTCTCGAGGTTAGGGCCTCTCTTGCTCTCGTGATAGAATTGTTTCCTAGACCTGATTCGTGGCGGCACGGTCTGAATGTCAGCCACCTTGACCACATAATGGTTCGACCGGATCCTTTCTTAGCGGCAAAACTTGGACATGACTCGGTCCTGCCCATTTTGCCGCCTTTCGGCCTGACCGGACCCGGCGGCTCTTTAACAAGTCTCATGAACACAACTAGCATTCTTTCTATTTTTTCGTTTGTCACGCTTTCATCGAACATCAGTACACAAAATCTTACGTGGTTTGATTGAGTCCATATGACAACTCTCACCTCCTTAATTGGTAGACGATTTCCGATGGAAACCTTACATGTTTGGTGCTTGCGTTGTCATTGTAGGTAAAAGTAAAAAGTAAAGAAACTCGAGTAATGAGAAGACAGGATGAACATCTTACTTTTATTACGTGTTTGAATAATATTTTATGATATAAAGAAAAATCACTTTATTGGTATCAACATTTGGGGTTTCGATTCACAATTGGCATTTCGATGTCCAATCATGGGATCAATCACATATGTACGTGATCATCAAGTCCAAGAATAAGCATCATGTGTGTATTTATGACGTCCCCATTGGTCAATTAAAGTTATAGAAGTAAGAAAAAACCATGACGGCCACCATTAGAGATATTCAGGGAGCTTCTTCTCAATCTTCTTCTAAATCCAAATCAGATTCGTTCTTCATCCTCAACTCGATGAACCCAGTAGGGGAGATCGATGCGCGAGAGCTTTATCCACGCGGCGATCCACATGCTCATCCCCGTCATGGTGGCGGCGCTTCTGGCTCCAGCTCCGGTCGTCTCTTCCGAGGTAAGCGACTCTCTCTAGCTCTCGCTCTTGCGGAATGAACGATTCTTTCCTAGACTCGGTCCATGGCGGCGACACCGTCTGCATCGCAGCCACCAAACAATGCGCCTGGGTTCTCTTTAACATCTGTTTTTCTTTTTTCTGCTTTTTTCTTTGTTCGACCGAGTCCATACAATACACTCGCATCTCTCTATACGATAGTTGACTTTCGATCGAAACCTGATGCGTTTGGTGCTTGCTCGTGCCGTCGTTGCAGGCAAAAAATAAAAAGCAGCGAGGCTTGAGCGATGAAGATAGGACGGGCTTTTCAATGGGATTCTAACTTTCATTTCCTCCTAAAGTAATGTTGCGCAGTATCAATAAAGGCCACTTTCTTGATATGAACTGCTGGTTTATGGACATCATCCTCGCACCGACGTTCCCTTTCATTTTTGAAGATATTGTTCAGCTTCATCTATTATCATATTGACGTGTATAGATAGATGGATATGACTGCATGGACGTCCGATGGAAGAAACCAGCCTAGATAGTGTGCATACGCACTCACCAAATGCATTCAAAAACCGAGGAGTTCTTAGCACGGTGAGAAGTTCGCCTTAGCATCCTGGCGTCGATGTATTCACCTCTTTCGATGAACAAAGAGATTCTAGGCATAAATAGAAATCTTATGGAAAAATTTCCCCATGATCGCCTAGTGTCTCCCATTTATATTGATAATCTTGCGTTCCATTTCATTCAACAAATGCGGTGATCCTGATCTTAGATAACGAATCCATGCTTCAATTGGATTGAAAAGAAAGAAACGTGCAATTACGGAGGGTAATGACTTCGCAGAATCGACTCCCACAATTGAGGAGTCTTTTAAGAGGGGATCTAAATCGAAAAGACCCGAAAATTTCTGTTTGGGTTGAATCGGGCTTTTTCGCTGGCCCTAATTACCATTGTCCAATCAATACGAGGATCATATACTTAACATGCACGTGTCATGGGCTGGCGGGTTATTGACCGCGGAATGGCCCGTGCGGCACCTGATGAGCCGAGAACTTCAGACAAACCTTCTAAAGTTTGTTCCTAAGAAGAGTATGGCAAATGTCATCCTCACACCATAGCATATCATGGTGAATATCATCCTCACACCATAGCACCACGCCCAGCTTAGTTAGGGTATTCAGTCCTCGGCCTGCTATGTTCTCGATCAGAGAAGCTAATCCCGCCTTCAGAGCTCTATATCTAAGAACTCCTCATACAAATGCCCAAACGCTCGGATGTCATTTCTACAAATCAATTGCATCATCCCTCTGCATCACTTGCTTTTCACTCCGATGTCACAGGGCTCCACTCTTTAGCTCACAAGGGTACGGGAATTCAGTTCGCGACACATGCACGAGGATCGAAATAAATCGCACCGGGCTCACATTCCGGGCTGAGAAAATCGTGGCCCAAAAAACCTCGAACCGGGCCGAATATTTTTTTATCGAAACCCGGCCCGTTTTTCTACCGGAGTCGGTGTACAAGGCAGTCGACGAGCCTCGGCTACACTCCTCGCCGTTGCTAATTGCCGAGCTAGAGTCGCCGGCGGCGAAAACGGCCGGTAATGGCGTCGCAAAATCGACTCCCCCAACTGAGGAAGGACGAGATCACAGGGCGGTGGGTGATTTTCTCGCCGGCCAGAGCCAAGCGGCCCTCCGACTTCAAGTCCAAAGCCCCGGTCACGGCCCCGGACCCGGGCTCCGACCACCGCCGGCGGTGCCCCTTCTGCTCCGGCAACGAGCACTTGTGCGCCCCGCAGATCTTCCGGGTCCCGCCGGACCCGAGCTCCGATTGGACGATCCGGGTCATCGAGAACCTCTACCCTGCGCTCGACAGGAACCTCAGGGATGCCGACTTGGACGGCGGCGGCGGCGGCGCGGACGTGTTGCGCGGGTTCGGGTTTCACGACGTGGTAATCGAGACTCCGGACCACTCGGTGCAGCTGAGCGATCTGTCGCCGAGGGAGGTCGGCGACGTGATTCTCGCGTGCAAGAAGAGGATCCAGCAACTCGTGACCTTCGATTCGATCAAATATGTACAGGTTCGTATTTTGTGGATGGAAATGAATGTTTCTCGTTCATGTGTTTGCTGATGCAGATCATGGGGTTGTTTGGAGCCCATTTATCATTTGTCTGAGTTCTTTGCGTGCGTGTTAGATTTGTTCAATTGCCCTTGAAGAGCTAGTTCTTTGTATTGCAACTTATGCCGATCTTAGTATGCTTTTAGCATCAGATATAGTTGAATGGTCACTTAAGAACAGATGGTTCAAGGCTGAGACGATTTTGGATGGACTAAACTGCTGTATCAATCGGGCCTCTCTGTTGTTAGTGTGTCCTTGCTTTAGTTAAAGCCTGTACTTAGTTTGATTTGGTTTTCGTTTTGTGGTTTTGAAGGTTTTTAAGAACCATGGGGCGTCGGCCGGGGCATCTCTAAGTCATTCTCACAGCCAGATAATTGCTCTTCCCATTGTCCCTTCCAATGTTTCGGCTCGGATCGAGTGCCAGAAGGAGCATTTCGATCGGACGGGGAAGTGTTGTCTCTGTGAAGTCCAATTGAACGAACTTTTGATTGATGAGTCGGCTCATTTCGTTTCGTTCGTTCCGTTCGCTGCCACATTTGCTTTTGAGATATGGATTGCGCCGAGGGATCACTCTCCTCATTTCCACGAACTAGATGATGATAAGGTCGGTCAGATTGTTTCTTTGCAATTTCCTGCACGCTTGTATTTCTGACCTTTTTTTTTTCCTGTGATTTTGTTGGGCTCAAGGTCCCCAATATTGCCTATTGCATAGCAACAGCAAGCAGCGACAAAGTAACACTAATTTGACTTGGTTAAGGGCCTTGATATTGCCTGTCGCGTAGTACCAGCGAGTACCAACACTAACTTGACTTGGTTAAGATCAGTTTTACATCTTCTCTTCGGTCATTGTATGGATGAGCTATTAAGTATTGTGAGTGGAATTCAAGTGTGAATCAATTAGTGAATTCAACTTAGTCAGTTGTAGTATCTACAGGATCGAGGTTTGTGAGTGAGTGTTTCACTGAGGGATCTATGAGCTGGTTTAAGAGATGTAATTGAGATACTTTTGAAAGGATTGTTAAGGTTTTGTGGTGAATTTGTGATTCGGGGTGGGTAAGCTCCAAATATATTTATTTGCAGAAGATCTCAACTTGACTAGGGTTCTCTACTTTAGATGATTGCATACAATTACTTATTTTTCATCCATGCGGTATTGTTCTATTAATGTTGAGATTCGGAGAACATGAGCTGAATAAATCTTAATAACTCGGAACCTTGTCAGTTTCTATTTGACTTTTCGCTCTGCGTTTACTAATGGGTATCTGAACTGGCCTTCTAACTAGTATTCTCAAAACCTGCTTTGTCTTCATTTTCAGGCTGCTGATCTTGGAGGCATACTGAAACTCATGCTTAGGAAGATATGTATACAGTTGAACGATCCGCCGTTCAATTTCATGATCCAGACTTCTCCGGTTCACACTCCTGGATCCGAACTGTGTTCCACTCACTGGTATTTGCAAATAGTACCTCAGCTAACTATTGCAGCGGGGTTTGAAGTCGCGACAGGTTGCCACATAAATCCAGTTTTCCCGGAGGAAGCTGCAAAAGTTTTGAGGGAAGTCCATGTCCAGATGTAGTCGGGGAACGTAAAGCATTACTAACTCAGATTGGCCAATGTGCTGAAGCGGGTTGATCTTGTTTGCTGTTCGGTCTATTTATATACTTGTATACCCTGAATTCAATTGGATCGTTTAGCTTTGGCCTTACTATGGCGCTAATCTAATTCGGGATGATGCATGTATGAGAGAATACAATAAAGCGTACCGCCAATGGTCACTGGCTCGATGTTTCTCTACTGCAGGATGAGCTATATGAAATAACAGAAGGTCTTTGTAGTTTTTGACGCTTGAACTCTGTATCCTCCTCACATTGTTCCGCCACGCTCTTGTTGCTCTCGTGGCATTGCGGATCGCTTACTCGAACACCCAAATAGTTTCGCGCACAAGGAATGGATTTCCGGGAAAGGGAAGAAAGAGAAGTTATCTGATTGTTGCTCGATTAGTTCGGCTATCAGATCCAAGCTCCGGGAGTACTATGCTAATCTCAATCATGCAACTTCACAGGTCTAAGGTTCAGATCGTATATCCACCGAGTAAATCTCAAATATATGTGTTCCAGACCGTCTGTCACATTCCCCTTAAATGAAGGTGGATGGAGATTAAAGGCCTACGTTTGGTTCGATGCCGATCGCCAATGCGACGAACTTTTTAGTAAGCATTTCTCGCTCATTCTAACTCGAATATCTGCCCAAAACGTCGAACTTCATTCCTGCCGCATCCTCTTTTTCCACCGAACCCAGATTCGCCACGCAACGTCATCGGCCCGGAACCGAAATCGGCTTCCATATATGTCCTGCGATTGCATAAACGTAATCCTGGAAAAATTTCGAAACTACGCAACACATTACTTCGTATACAGACAAATGACGTCCTGAGTATGCAGATTTCACTGGGGGGAATTTGCTTTGAAAAAAAAAACAAATTTCGATGATTGGAGCCCAGCCCAGCGAATCCGGGCTCGGCCCGGCCCGTTTCGGATTCGAAAAAAATGGCATCAAAAGCTCTCTCGCCTTCCTGATGTTTCCACTAGGTTTCTGCTGCTGGCGTTCCGGTTTCTTGAACTTGAAGTCGCATCGCGCTCGCAGAGGCGGGAGCGAAGAGAGAGAGAAGAGGGAGAGAGAGAGAGCGGAGAGATCGAGCGAGGTGAGTCCAGCGACTCGTCGGAGGGTCGAAAGCTCGAGCGGGTGTTCTTCGCGGCGGGACTGCAGAAGAAGGAGGAGGGAAGGGTTCGGGAGAAACGAAGCAGGCGCGATGCAACCGTACGGCATACAGGCGATGCTCAAGGAGGGGCACAAGCATCTCTCCGGGCTCGACGAGGCCGTCGTCAAGAACATCGACGCTTGCAAGCAGCTCTCCGCCATCACCCGCACCTCCCTCGGCCCCAATGGTACGAGTCTCGATCTTTCTTTTTTGGGCTTCCCCTCTTTCATTCCGGGTCGGCATTTCATTCGCGGGGTCTTGCTTCTCTCGTGAGATTGCGAAAAGTATGCACCTTTGCAAGTTTTTTTCTCGGATTTCGTGCGTCCCCATGATGTTCGATCTTTTTCGTTGATTCCCGCTGGTTGGCGGCGAGGCGTTGCCTCTGTTATTAGCGATTTAAGTTGGTTTAATCAGTTGGTAATTAGTTAAAGTGTGATTGTGGAATGAAATGGCGTTTCTTGATCTAAACGGTTGGCTGGAGATGATGTTGTTCGAGTGGTAGTGTCCGCACAATCTTGGTGCCTTATCGCTACTTGTCCAGGCTAGGAATATCCGATGTAATCTTTCTAAGCAGCCCTCTTCCTGTGATGGGAAATTTTTTGTCAGGCATGAATAAGATGGTCATCAATCACTTGGACAAGCTCTTTGTGACGAATGATGCCTCCACGATCGTGAACGAGCTTGAGGTCCAGCATCCCGCGGCGAAGCTACTGGTTTTGGCTGCCAAGGCTCAACAAGAGGAGATCGGTGACGGTGCCAATTTGACGATCTCTTTTGCGGGAGAGCTCCTCCAAAATGCGGAGGAGCTTATTAGGATGGGCTTGCATCCGAGTGAAATTATTAGTGGTTATTCCAAGGCCATCAACAAGGTAAATGCAGTTTTTCTAGTAGTGTGCACGGGTAGTAAATTGATGGTTGATTCTAACTTTCCCTCTGGGTTGATTATGTTCACAGACATTAGAGATACTGGACGAACTGGTTGAGGCTGGTTCTGAGACTATGGATGTACGAAACAAGGAGCAAGTTGTTTCTCGAATGAGAGCTGCAATTGCTAGCAAGCAATTTGGACAAGAAGACAGATTATGCTCACTTGTTACCGATGTATTCGCTCTTTCTCAATCCTGCCTTTGTATATTGGGATTCTTCACCTGTCCTTTTCAATTGTGCTAATTATATGCATTTTGTCTTTTATAAGGCTTGCATTCAAGTGTGCCCCAAGAACCCAGCTAACTTCAATGTGGATAATGTCCGAGTTGCAAAGCTTTTGGGTGGCGGTCTGCATGACAGTGCAGTGGTTCGAGGTATGGTCTTGAAAGGCGATTCTGTTGGGAGTGTTAAGAGAATGGAGAAGGCAAAGGTTAGCTCTTGTCTTTAAAAGGTTGTTTATTTGCAGGTTGACTTTTATATTTCAATCTTAACCTTTGCTGTACTTATGCTGTGGCCTTAATTTCACGCTTCTGACAATGTTGATGTATTTCTTAAAATGTTCAGCTCAGCCAGACATTTGTATATCAATATGAGGAAACCGTTGCTTTAGATTAACTGCAGGTTGCTTGTGGGTTTTTGTTCACACATAGGAAAACTGATTTGCTTGGATACATGACCTCATCATCCCATTAGCTTTTCAGTTTAAAAGTTCATGTGCTTGTGAATCTGGGTAGTTATTGCTTTGTTGTTCCCTATGATGTCATGAATGGCTTATGGAGGTGTTATGATTTTGATTCAAGTATTTATACTTCATCTTCACTTAATGAATTTAGGTAGCGGTATTTGCTGGTGGTGTTGATACATCTGCTACTGATACAAAGGGAACTGTACTTATACATAGTGCCGAGCAGGTAAGTTTATTAAATTTCTTTGGGTATTTCTTGAAGGAATAATTGAGATGGTTGCCTTTGAGTATTGCTTTTTTGAGGGACTCTTCCAGTTTTTAACTGGATATCCTCTTTAGGCTCTGCATTGTAGAAGTATCTTAATGTATATCTTCTTTCGTTTTTATAAGTAACTTTTATCTTTTTAGTATGGTGATTTTGTGATTCAATCACTCTTTGAGGAGGATGGAGATTTCAACAAAAAATTAATGCTTCACTGCCGATGATGTTAAAGCACAGATTGGGAAATGTTGCTTAACTAGTGAAACTGCTGGAAGAAAATAAATCACCAAAATACCTGAACATTGGAGTGTAATTGGTAAACTTGCTATTGGATATTCTCTGCATACTAATATGAGAGCATTGGCTGTATCACCATATGCATGCGTGGCAGCTTGATTTTAAGATTTCTGCAATAAAAATGTGGCATTGTCAAGTAGTTGAGGGACGATCTGTTTGCAATTTTTTTTTCTTAAGAATTGGTGCGGTGTCTATCTTGTCAGCACTGAGAGAATACAGCTTTTGTCATTTTCAATGAGATGAAAACCTCAAAATGACATGAATTTCTTCAAGTTCTATTGCCCTGGGTTCAAATTCCTTATTTTAACAACAAAATTAATGTCTTTTGGTCATGAATGTTTCACATTATGGTCAACTGAATCCATGTTACAGCCATAGCAGTTTTAGCGTTTTCTGTATGGTACGTAGCAACTTTCATCATTTACTTGGACTTATATTAAAGCTGTCATTAGAATCCTCCTATATGTCTGTTTGTAAACACACCAATCTGTGGCATGTTGTATCTTGTAGCTTGAGAATTATGCAAAATCTGAGGAAGCTAAAGTGGAGGAGCTGATAAAATCAGTTGCCGATTCGGGTGCAAAAGTCATTGTTAGTGGTGCTGCAGTTGGAGAGATGGCATTGCATTTTTGTGAGCGTTATAAGTAAGTCTCTCTTCCATCTCCATTTTTTATTTTACTATGCTGCTCCTTGATTTTTTTTTTTGGCTCCTTGATGTTGTCATCTCAAAATGTGCGAGAGAATCATAATTTGATATTGTGCTAAAACAAGAGTCCAGATGATTTCCTGTTATATTGCCATACTCTATGTTGTTTTGCTCCTCTTTGGTTTCTTTTTGGGACCGATTCATTCTTTTGATATCACTGTTGTCACTTTCAGGCTTATGGTCTTGAAAATCAGTTCGAAGTTTGAACTACGGAGATTTTGTCGTACAACTGGTTCTGTGGCTATTGTAAGCATTGGGCCACTTTATATTTTGAACTTATGAACCGTGTGGATTGCTGAAAGAGTTTACTTTTTCTTTTTATGTGTAAATGTTGCAGTTGAAGCTGAGCCAACCCAATCCTGATGACTTGGGATATGTAGATTTGGTTTCTGTTGAGGAAATTGGTGATGTGAGGGTATGATTCAGGTGTTAAATTGGTCAGGCTTCTGCCATTACCTTCGTACTTTGAGTGCTTCATCTTAGATATTTCTCCTTTATTTTTTTCAGGTAACTATAGTGAAAAATGAAGAAGGTGGAAACTCTGTCTCAACTGTTGTTCTGCGGGCAAGTACTGATAGCATATTGGATGACCTCGAAAGAGCAGTTGATGATGGAGTAAATACTTACAAGGTAGCTTTTGTCTGAAACGGGGACTCCTTTGACTTAGTCGTTTCTTGATCCATGGACTGAAATTCGAGTTTGTCGTGCTTTAATTTTGTGATACAATCTTCGTTGATTACATAGAGATATTGATGCACCATCATTTCTTAATGCAAAATTTTGTCTCTAACAATACCCTATCTTAACTCAGGCTATGTGTAAGGATAGTCGCATAGTCCCTGGTGCTGCTGCTACGGAGATTGAGCTGGCTAGAAGAGTGAAGGAATTCTCTTTCAAAGAGACGGGGTACTTCTAATTTTTCCTTTTTTCATCAAGCTATCGAATGGAATTCAAATCTTTGATTTTTTTGGTGTGGATGTGACTATGCTTAATGATGGTTGGAGTTAATTCTTGTTCATTGGATTTGTGTTGGTTTTTGCAGGTTGGATCAGTATGCTATTGCAAAATTTGCTGAGAGCTTTGAGATGATACCTACGACACTAGCAGAGAATGCTGGGCTCAATGCTATGGAGATCATATCTTCTCTATATGCTGAACATGCAAACGGAAATGCCAAAGTGGGTATTGACTTGGAGGAAGGTGTCTGCAAGGATG